ATAACCAGTGACGAAAAACCCAAACACTGGAACTACTGCTAGTTAATTCCTTCGACAGGTTCTAGTTATGTTTACGTAGAGATTACATATGAAATGACCGATGTGCAGTAACGAGCTTGTAGCTCCCCCACCCGTTATTCTGTAGCACAGGGGTTCCCAAACTTTTTCACTTGGGGCCCCCCTTCCAGCATTGGGGAACATCCCGCGACCCCCTTGTGCGTGCACACGCGTCACATCAATTTCTATGGGCAAAAGCACTGTTCACACCCCTCTTGTTGGTGGAGAGAATTTTGCAGGTTTAAAGCTTATTTCCTGCAATTCTATACATTTTGCCATGTCTAATGTGTATTGGTGCGATATTTGAGTGACAAATTACAACAATATCTATGGGCAATTTTTTTTATAAAAGGTTAGCTGACATCCGCTAGTTGAGGTATGCAATGACTAACATTACAAGAACTGATGATACACTACCCAATTTCGAATTAGCACCTTGTGCATTCTACTATTACAACTTTTAAGAGTAAGTTTAAAGCAGGACCGAGTTCCCCAAAAAATATATTTAAAAAATAACAAAAAACGCGCCTCCCCCCTGCCGAGCCCTCGCGGCCCGCAGTTTGGGAACCACTGCAGATGGTTTTCCTTTACAATGTAACAATTCAGCGGCTCATTTCCAATGGTTTGATGATTGGGAAAGCAGAAAGGAGTGTGGCGCATAGGACAATCAAACTCAACGTACCATGCCCCCATGTGGGCAACATGTAAAACTGCAGGCAGAGATGCTTAGTGTAATATGTAAAAGGAAGACCGACCAACACGAACGTCGGTCGTGCGCAGTAGGTCACCTGCTGGGTGTCACCAAAAGTTGGCGATTCAACATGTGGAATCGTCGGGAAAGGAACAGAAAATTATGTGGTCAGATGCGATATGACAGCAACCCGCTGTGCACGGTCAACTTTAGCGTTGATCTGTCTTCCCTTTAAAACAATATATAAGAGAATTTATAACAATACTTTCATATTGCATTTCACACATTAGTTTATTTATTCTGTTACACTTCTCTTCAAAGTAAAAACTATTTACAATGCCCAGCTCCATCTAAAATTCTGCTGTGTTTGAGTAGAGGTCAAATAAGCATAACATTTCCCCAAAACGTATTTTAACCAATTTGCATGACAAACATTCCTCTAATAGTTTTAGCATGATATTTTTACAGCACTCATTAATCCCCATTACTGCAATCATTTTACTGCTCTGCTAGAAGGTCAAAGGATGTCCCAAACCAACCCTGCCATTATTCCATACACTCAACCAGGTCAAGCCTATTACTAGGTAATAGGGAGGGGAAGGGGTTATCACTCAGGGGCAATTTAATTATGTCTAGTTAAGGCAAGTAAAACCAAATAAGGAGTCAAAAAAATTGAACACAAAAACCAGTAAAGTCAAATGAATCATTCACTATTTACATCCAGGCGTTGAAACTTGCCAATCAGATCTTTGTGTGTGTGCTCGTGTGAATGTAACAGGGCATGAGCATAGCTGTATGTTAAAGTAATTTGAGAGTCCATGTATGTATGGTGTGTGTGTATGAGTCTTAACTCCTGGTTGAGACCTCAGTCAGCTGGGTTCAGTATTCCCCGGTCTAGTCCAGTCCAGGACCGGGACAAAGTTAGAGTCTGAGAGTCTCTCTCCTCTCCTGTCTGCTCCTCTGAGACAATCCCATGTCCAGCTGTGGTCCAGAACAGCCCAGTCATTCAGGGTATGAGAGCCCACAGGCCTTAGCCTCCGATACACCTCCTCACTTTGCAGCTGATCGTCTAGCAGAGGGGCCACTACATGGACCGAGCAAGGTGGTGGTGGCTAGTGTCCATGAAGTATCCTCCTGGCCTGCAGAAACAAGACAGGACTATTAAAACAAGGATGATTAAACACTATAACCCGGCTCATAATAGATTCATATCAGACTAATATTAAATCCCAGACCCCCCTGGGTATAGCATGAGGAACCGAGGGGCTTGTCCAGACACCAGGATATCTAGATGTCCAACATCATTAAAATGGACACATATCCTGAGGAACCTATTAATTACCCAACTCTCCACTGAATAACTATCATTATTGGTACAGCAAGCTATTAAAAAGGATCTTTAGTCAAATCATTTATCGAGTTCCCCCTTGCCTCTACCTGTCCTACATGCCACTTCAGGTAGCCAGTAACCTATAAAGTCAGCAAAAGTACATCTGTAACAAAGAATATACATTTCCCCTGGTGAGCCCATTCCTAAAAACAGATGGTAACATCATTAACTTGCTTTCTGTGGCTCTCTGAAGGTCAGCGCAGTTTTGTTCTGGTACATCGAAGAATCTGGTCCACTTCGGTGTCAAGGTCATCCTCAATGCTGTCCTTTCTTGTGGAAAATGTCCAGGGAAAGGCAATCCTTGAGGTATACTGTCCAGTAAAAGAGTAAATACAAGGAGACGGGGGCATTTTACGTAGTCCACAAACCTGTCCATCTCCCTACACTGTTCTGTGAGACTAAAACCAACAAACGCACAAGTGGAAGATGAACAAGTTTCACCCCCCCCCCCTCCCTTCCATTGTCCAGTAGTTTTGGATTTCAAAAAGTTCCAATTGTAGGCCTGGGTTATAAAAATAAGTTCTCTCCAGTACATTTTAATTTCTTTGAACATACGATGAATCTTTTTAAAATATCCATAATTTAACCAGGCAACCTCTAGTCACATGGTCCCAGTCTGCCAAACCCCATGAGACATGTTGCACAGTATGTTGTAAGGAGGGGGATCAGCTATGGCTAGGAGGCTGGCCTGAGGAACAAGTCTGTTGAGGAGGCTCAAGGAGCGTGAAGAGTCACAATAGATTTTTGATCCCTCTCCTCTCTTGCAATCTCCTCACTCCATCTCTGGATCTCTTCTTGGTGAAGAACCCATGAGAAACACACAGAGTCAAATATAACCACATATTACAGTTGTCACCAGTCTCTTTAAAAACAATTGTCCATTCTCCTTTTTCTCTTCATCCATTTTTTGTCTTTTTTTTTTTTTAAATAAAAAATATAATCCAGACTTGGTATGAATAAAAAAATGGTTAAAGCGAAGATAGTTTCAGTTTGCAGATGAAGTACCGATCATTCCTCCAGCCACATCTTCAAACTCTCAATTTTCACAAGTTGTAGGCAATTAGAGAGGAAGAAGATAATGAATAGTCACAAACCAGACATTCAAAGATAAAAGGAGACAGATTTATCTTTTGAAAAACTACTGCTACATTTTCCCATGCCATTTCCTCGGTATATAGGTTTGTAATGAGTCCATCATGTTTGAAAGGATCTGCCACTATGTTGGATTTCCATCCATGAGGAACTGTATCCAGAGACTATTGAGGATGACAACATTGCTTGGTGATGGACAGATGTCTTCATCTTATTACGAGAAGTTCTTCAGAGAGCAGTAGGCAGTGTGTTCAGCAGTGTCCACCTCAGTTTCATTTACAGTATCTCATCTTCAGGGATTCTAATACTTTATCCTCACTACTCTCCTCAATACCTTGAAAATATTTGTTTAAAGTCTGGCTTCATCTCACTGCACTGTTGTACATTTCTGTTTTTGGAATACATTCATATTTATATATATATATTTTTATATATATATATATATATATATTTTTTTTTTTTAAAGAGTTTTTAAAAAACAATTACCAGAGGCAAATAAAACAATATAAAAATACAAAAGCTTAGCAGCCTCAAAAGTGCTCCATTTCATCAAGTCCAAATACTTTTCCACTTTGTTATTAACAGACAAACATTATATTCAAAAAGCAACAAAAGAGAGGACTCTGGCTATAAAAACCAGGTTTCACACAAGCAGTGGCAATAGCCTGCAAAACAGCCTGGGAACAGGAAAGCAAGACCTCAACACTGGCATGTCATTAAAGGCAATAGATCCCTTTGAAAAATGCAAGGGACTTCTCTGGTCTTACCAACTGTCATAACCACAAGGAAGATCATTATTAAAACAGAACTATTCATGGTTCTTTTAACAAGAATGAGATCGAGAGACAGGACCTGTACTGCAGTAAAATATACCTCGGAAATCTGCCTTGAAACAAGACATCTGCTTTCACAGTTCAATCAGCGAATCAGAGCCCGTATACCTCAGTGACTCGTCGCGAGAGAAGAGCATGAGGCCAGCAAAGCACCAGTGCCAGAACACGGACGGCCAGTCAGGTAACTGGACAGAAACGCAAAGACCATCATGGAGTCATTTAGGGGATGAGGAGCTGGTGAAAGATTGGATGAAAAGAGCCCTCCCCACTCTCACTTAAAGAACCCATGTACAAAAAAAACATGCACACATTCATTTGCTACCAATCACTCATACATATAACATGGTCACAAATTGCATACATTCTTCAAAGTAAAAAAAAGTTTCATGGAACAAAGTAAAAACATGGCCTTTTTCTGCATCTCTGTAAGCAATAAAACGTGTGCAGGCTTTGAGTCTACCACACAGACACACCAGCATTCAAAGAAACATTTTCTTCCACTACTTATCCACAACTACTTTTGTTTGTTTTTCTAAGTGCAAACGTTCAAGTTTTCTTAATAAAATGCAGGTTTGTTATAGCTTTACATTTTATATAAATGAATTTAAAACAACAGTGTCTCTTTCAAAAAATAATATACTTCCAAAAACAATAAATCCTCATCACTCCCAACCCCTCACCATTATTATCGGAGATCTAACCTCCAGTTCCTTACTTAGGTATGTTTGCACACACATACCCACTTGTGTTTATTCATATCGTAGACATAATATATGCAAAATATGCAAATTTTGCATCCTAAAACCAACAAAAAAAACAAAACACAGGCGAATCGTCATTTGAAATATTGAAACTCCCTGTGATAAAGTGCATTAGTTTAGTTTAAGGTGCTTAACTGTAAGAAGTGAGGGAGGGTACTCCTCTCTGCACCCCCCACCCCACCGAGAGACCAGGGAGAAAACACTACTTTACCAGGTCCTCATCTAAGAGGGGGCAACGTAGCTCAGCAGTGCACATTCGTGTGTGTGTGTGTGTGTGTGTGTGTGTGTGTGTGTAGGTCAGTGTGTGTCGTATGCCAGGTGTAAGGCCTCAGGTGGATTCAGGTAGATGCTGTGGATCAATAATCCTCCACTGTTTCCATCTCTCCCAGGCTCATCCTGTCTCCTGCGCCCAGGAATGAATATCCTGCATGAGAAACACCATGGTTAAATTCTATCCACATCCAGCATGGATTCCACTACTTTTCACATTTGGAAGTTTACGGTATTCTGTAGTTACTCTCCCATGTTGGGTTCTAACTTTAAATATACTTATTCCTGTCACTATATCAGAACTTATTGATTACATTAGATGTATGATAACTGTTTATGTTCTGTGTCAATGAAGGGTGAATAAGGAATGTGTATGGAAAGTTACAGAGGGAGGCGAAGCGCAACAGTTAGTCTTTGATAAGGCAGGCCAGCTGCAGAACTACTGAGTAGCGTGGAATTCGGCTCAAGGTCAAGTCAACAGAAGAAGTGAGAAGAAACCTCGGAGGGGGGCCAGAGGGGCCCACCCCAACGGCCCTGCTACTACAGTCCTATCTCACACACACACTTCCACGCCTGCAAAGGTTCTAGCATCAGGCAGGACCATGACTACACCAGTGAGAGGAACCAATTAAGTTCCTGCCGAGCAACAGAGATGTATTGGCTGTCTAGATGTGTAAGGAGTTGGCCCTGCCTAGGAGGTTACAAATATATGCGCTTGTATCGTCATATCTTTTCTTTGCAGCTATATGACCCAATGGGATGAATAAACTTGGCCTGTGCTGCTTCTTCGAGTTATTGCTCTTTGATAATAACCTAACACCTGTATATAGAAAACATCAACCACTCAATACTTCACTCCATTTAGTTTACTTTTCACTGTGCTTCAAGATATTAAATAAATATACTTCACGTATTATTGACTGAGTGTCTGCATACCTAAGATGCTGGGGTCGGAGTGAAGCATCATGGTCTGTTTCTTCTTCATCTTTGCAGCCTGGCTATCATACATTCCTCCTGTCCCCATCTGGGCTGCCTGGAACATGGACTACAGAAAAGAGAGAGGTGAGGAGAGAGGGGAACAACGTGGTGACAGACAATGTATTGGGTATTTGCAAATTCCAATTAGTGCTCTAACATTAGAAAAGTATAGATTGATATAACAAGAATGTTGGTCATGACTTAAAGAGGAGCCTACCTGTACAGGAAAGTTGTTCACGGACAGCCCTGCAACTTCTTTTGACAGCTGGGGGGGAGAGGGATGTTGGTTACTGATAATGTCTTATACAGCCACACCGCAAACACAGCTACAGTGTCTATAGAAAGTCTACACCCCGTTGGACTTTTTCACATTTTATTGTTACAAAGTGGGATTAAAATAGATTTGTCATTTTTTGGTCAACGATCGACACAAAATACGCTAATGTCCTTTGTAGCGCAGTTGGTAGAGCATGGCGCGTGTAATGCCAGGGTAGTGGGTTTGATTCCGGGGACCACTCATACGTAAAATGTATGCACACATAACTAAGCCGCATTGGATAAAAGTGTCTGAAACGGAATGTATATTTATTTATTATTATACTGAACAAAAATATAAACGCAACATGTCAAGTGTTTCCCATGTTTCATGAGCTGAAACAAAAGATTCCAGAAATATTCCATACACAAAGCTTATTTCTCTCAAATTTGGTGCAAAAATGTGTTTACATCCCTGTTAGTGAGCATTTCTCCTTTGCCAAGATAATCCACCCACCTGACAGGTGCGGCATATCAAGAAGCTGATTAAACAGCATGATCATTACACAGGTGAACCTTGTGCTGGGGACAATAAAAGGCCACTCTTACATGTGCAGTTGTGTCACACAAAGCCACAGATCTCACATTGAGGGAGCGTGCAATTGGCATGCTGACTGCAGGAATGTCCACCAGAGCTGTTGCCAGAGAATTGAATGTTAATTTCTATACCATAAGCCTTCTTAAACGTCGTTTTAGAGAATTTGTCAGTACGTCCAACAGGCCTCACAACCGCAGACCACGTGTAACCAAGCCAGCCCAGGACCTCCACATCCGGCTTCTCCACCCAGACAGCTGATGAAACTGTGGGTTTGCACAACCAAAGAAGTTCTGTACAAACTGTCAGAAGCAGTCTCAGGGAAGCTCATCTGCGGGCTCGTCGTCCTCACCAGGGTCTTGATCTGACTGCAGTACGGCGTTGTAAATCAACTTCAGTGGGCAAATTCTCACCTTCAATGGCCACTGGTGAAGAGTGCTCTTCACGGATGAATCCCGGTTTCAACTGTACCGGGCCGATGCCAGACAGCGTGGTGTATGCGTGGGTGAGCGGTTTGCTTATGTCAACGTTGTGAACAGAGTGCCCCATGGTGGTGGTGGGGTTATGGTATGGGCAGGCATAAGCTTCGGACAACGAACACAATTGCATTTTATCTATGGCAATTTCAATGCACAGAGATACCGTGACGACATTCTGAGGCCCATTGTCATGCCATTCATTCGCCGCCATTACCTCATGTTTCAGAATGATAATGCACGGCCCCATATTGCAAGGATCTGTACACAATTCCTGGAAGCTGAAAATATCCCAGTTCTTTCATGGCCTGCATACTCAAGACATGTCACCCATTGAGCATGTTTGGGATGCTCTGGATCGACGAGTACGTCAGCGTGTTCCAGTTCCCGCCAATGTCCAGCAACTTTGCACAGCCATTGAAGTGGAGTGGGACAACATTCCACAGGTCACAATCAACAGCCTGATCAACTCTATACGAAGGAGATGTATCGCGCTGCATGATGCAAATGGTGGTCACACCAGATACTGACTGGTTTTCTGATCCACGCCCCTACCTTTTTTTTTTAAAGGTACCTGTGACCAACAGATGCATATCTGTATTCCCAGTCGTGAAATCCATATATTAGGACCTAATTAATTTATTTAAATTGACTGATTTCCTTATATGAAATTGTTTCATGTTGCGTTAAAATTTTTGTTCAGTATACATATAACACAGACCTGCTGTTGCTGTCTCTGGTGGTTTGCTTTCTGTTTGGCACGGCGCTCCAGGAACTGCTTGGCGAACTCTTTGGCTTCCACAGTGTCGCCCAGGTAGGAGCGGATAAAGTCATGGACTTCGTAGGGAGACTCCACCTCCTTCAGATAGGCCACGATGGTGGTCACTGCTCACAGGAAGACCACAGACATTTACACTTAATACCAGGGGAAAAGGTTGAGCGAGAGAGAGGAAATGCTGGAGCCAGGGAGTCTGGCAACTAAGGAGATGTTTGTGATAACTAGATATAGTGGAGAGAACAAGTATTTGATACACAGACGATTTTGCAGGTTTTCCTACTTACAAAGCATGTAGAGGTCTGTAATTTTTATCATAGGTACACTTCAACTGTGAGAGACGGAATCTAAAACAAAAATCCAGAAAATCACATTGTATGATTTTTAAGTAATTAATTTGCATTTTATTGCATGACATAAGTATTTGATCACCTACTGTTATGTGAATTATTTAACAAACTATTTTAGTGTCTCTGTGCGTCTCCCAAAAGGTTGTAAGTCTTTTGGGATTTAAGTAACGGCCAGAGTCCCGGTCTGCATAGTCAGAGATATTTATTCATTGAGAATTCTGCCATCACAATTTCAGAGTCCATCTTTTATACTCATACGTCATACAAAAAAATCCCTCCCCTCTGTAGGCGGGCTGTAGTTTTCCACTCTAAAAACTGCTCTACTGACCATCAGTTCACACACACACACACACACACACACACACACACACACACACGCATACACACATACACACATACACACACACACACACACATATACCCTACTCCCTGCATTACTCAGTTAATGCCGTTCTCACAATATTCTGCACCATGTTTTCATAACAGTTTCTCCCCTCCCTAAATTGGGAGGCCTCTTTATCTTAGTTTCTCAGTTGTCTTTGTTGTCTGGCCTAACTCTTACTCATATTGCTAAATAGTGGCTCAATGCCATAGCCTTTACTGGTCCTACACTCACATATTTCTAACACATTATACACAGTTTCAGGGTGTAATAATTAGTAATTAATAATTAATCTATCACCTATCAACCAGTAAGAATTCCAGCTCTCACAGACCTGTTAGTTTTTCTTTAAGAAGCCCTCCTGGTCTCCACTCATTACCTGTATTAACTGCACCTGTTTGAACTCGTTACCTGTATAAAAGACACCTGTCCACACAATCAAACAGACTCCGACCTCTCCACAATGGCCAAGACCAGAGAGCTGTGTAAGGACATCAGGGATAAAATTGTAGACCTGCACAAGGCTGGGATGGGCTACAGGACAATAGGCAAGCAGCTTGGTGAGAAGGCAACAACTGTTGGCGCAATTATTAGAAAATGGAAGAAGTTCAAGATGACAGTCAATCACCCTTGGTCTGGGGCTCCATGCAAGATCTCACCTCGTGGGGCATCAATGATCATGAGGAAGGTGAGGGATCAGCCCAGAACTACACGGCAGGACCTGGTCAATGACCTGAAGAGAGCTGGGACCACAGTCTAAAAGAAAACCATTAGTAACACACTACGCCGTCATGGATTAAGATCCTGCAGCGCACGCAAGGTCCCCCTGCTCAAGCCAGCGCATGTCAAGGCCCATCTGAAGTTTGCCAATGACCATCTGGAGGAGGAATGGGAGAAGGTCATGTGGTCTGATGAGACATAAATAGAGCTTTTTGGTCTAACCTCCACTCGCCGTGTTTGGACGAAGAAGAAGGATGAGTACAATGCCAAGAACACCATCCCAACCGTGAAGCATGGAGGTGGAAACATCATTCTTTGGGGATGCTTTTCTGCAAAGGACGGGACGACTGCACCATATTGAGGGGAGGATGGATGGGGCCATGTATCGCGAGATCTTGGCCAACAACCTCCTTCCCTCAGTAAGAGCACTGAAGATGGATCGTGGCTGGGTCTTCCAGCATGACAACGACCCGAAACACACAGCCAGGGCAACTAAGGAGTGGCTCCGTAAGAAGCATCTCAAGGTCCTGGAGTGGCCTAGCCAGTCTCCAGACCTGAACCCAATAGAAAATCTTTGGAGGGAGCTGAAAGTCCGTATTGCCCAGCGACAGCCCCGAAACCTGAAGGATCTGGAGAAGGTCTGTATGGAGGAGTGGGCCAAAATCCCTGCTGCAGTGTGTGCAAACCTGGCCAAGACCTACAGGAAACATATGATCTCTGTAATTGCAAACAAAGGTTTCTGTACCAAATATTAAGTTCTGCTTTTCTGATGTATCAAATACTTATGTCATGCAATAAAATGCAAATTAATTACTTAAAAATCATACAATGTGATTTTCTGGATTATTGTTTTAGATTCCGTCTCTCACAGTTGAAGTGTACCTATGATAAAAATGACAGACCTCTACATGCTTTGTAAGTAGGAAAACCTGCAAAATCGGCAGTGTATCAAATACTTGTTCTCCCCACTGTAACCATAAGAAAAAAAAAGTCTGCAACCTTTCTCATGTGGAATGCCAATTTATCTTTCAATTTCTACCGATCTGCATGCATGCCAATTATGGTTTACATACGCACATTTTCGTGAAACAGTTTTATTGAATTTATAATAACGTCGTAATACCTCAAAATCATTGTGATATGGTTAATCATAATTCTATCCAAATCTAAATGAAAATTATACAAACCTAAAAAGTAACTTCTATTGCCAACTATGTAAAAAAGCCTACATAAAGCCAACAAATAAAAACATTGCAGCCTGCAGGTAGAAAGAAAATCCTGATATAAAACAAATATCCTATATATCACACATGGCCAGTCTGCAACAAACTTGAAAAGTATAAATTATTAACTTGGTTCCAGCCCGAAGCTTAGGCTAGCGAACTTGCAACATTGTGTAAAATATTCTGGGCGCTCAGAGTTTCCCCCGTGCCAGTGAGCTCGGGACAGACACAGCTGTAGGCTATTTGTGCATGGGATAAGAAGCAGTGCCGGACTTGGGCAGGAGCTCACCGGAGCTGAGTACCGGCACCTCAAATGTTCTACTGCTTGAGCTCCTGTTCCTCTTATAGAATATTAGCTGAAAAGTATTGTGGAGCTCCTGCACCTAAATATAAACAGTACCAGCACCCAAAATAAGTACCGGAACCTATTTCAGTCCAAGTCAAGCACTGATAAGAAGTAATCAGGTAGGATTTTATGACGTTTCCACTTGATCAGAGCATGACATTTTTTCCTTTCACGCCGAGTGGTTAAAGGGAAAGATTTTTCAAATACATTGAGGAACCATTGTAATTATCAATGGCTGTAAAAACAGACTGCTTGCTTGCTGTTTGAGGTGAAGAAAACATTACTTTGAGAAGCTCCACAAGTCATTTAGTGGTGGTGCGTTAAGACAATCAGAAATGCTAGCAGATCCCCAAATGGGCTCATTTGTGACTCGTTTCAGGAAACTAGGCATATGTCGCGGGTCACTACATCACAGGAGAGCCATTTGAACAGAAACGTAAAAAAAAAAACGCTTATTTTTTTGCAGAAATGCCTTCTGGAACATGTGAACTTTCATGTGCCTTAAACTTGTATACCATCTGTAAATACGATTCAAATTGTGAAATTACGAGTCTAGTTGGTTAAGCCACAGAAAAAGACAGCAACCTTCCCACTAGCCATGATTGGCTGAGATAATGAGTGGGCTGGACATACCGAGAGGGGAGTTTTGATTGGTCTGCCATATAGCACGCTACTGTCTATTTGTGCTGGTCAGTATGTGTAGGTAATCCGGTCTAACGCGGCTTAAAAATAAAAAGTATAATGTATTGGAGCTGCATAAGTGTTGCTCTCCACTTTCTGGAGGATCAAGTTTTGAAATCAGTGGAATTATAGCTAACGAGATGGAGAAAACACCTGTCTCCGGATTACATCAAACTATGGGCAACCATGGCATCCATGACAGTGAGACGCGTCCATCATGCATGATGTATACGGGTAAGATAGTCTAGCTAGCTACATTTTCAGATATTACACATTGTGACAGAAAGTGGTTTCATTTCAAGTGTACTGTTAGCTAGCTAACGTTAGCTGGCTGGCTCGCTTGCTAACGTTATGGGTATGCTCTTATTATTCGTATCTCAGAGCCATTTGCTTAATAACATTGAACCTGGTTGGATAGCTACCTGCAGATTCATGCAGGGTAGTAAAGTCATGAGTTGGGATTATGGTTCATTGTTTAACATAGCTAGCTAACGTTACGTGTATGATTTGACACGCTGTTTACCTAGCTAGGTTCATTGTTTACCAAGCTAGCTTGCTACAGGTCTTAACAAAAAGACTCCACCATGCAAGTAACCATTGCGGGTGCATTCGTAAATTCAGTCTGAGTATGCCAGAGCACAGAATAACTAACGCACAGCAACCGTTGAATATGGCCGGTGTCAGTAAACGTCGGCAAAAAAGCGTAATTAAAATTGTTGCCAGCAGCAGTTACAGTCACCAACGCTCTGGATAACATGAAAACAGCCTAACCAGCTCTGCTAGGGCGAGTAAAATGGTCAGTGGGGTGCTGGTTAGGCTGTTTTAATGTTATCCAGAGGTAAACAATGAACCATAATCCCAATTTTGTGTCTGGAAGTAGCTAGCCAATGTTTGCTTGGGTGCTTGACTGCAGTTGTGATGTCAGAACGCTCGGATCAACCCTATTCATCGGCCAGTGCGTCAAGTTTGCGCTCTGAACACTCCGAGAGCGAAACAAGATACTTCTTGCGCTTTGTGGAGCAGTGCAGAGCTGTTGTCAAGTGAGTTTGTGTTTTCTTTCTACAGGACATACCGCCCCCACCTACCGTCAACCAATCATGTAAATGCAGAGTAATACAGAGCCCCAGGCATTGTTACAAAATTTGCGACGCAGTACAGACCTCGATTTGGCCTCTGCATGGCTCTGGATGCTCCGCAATTGCGTAACACCCTCCATATGGAGGCTCCGACCACATATTCAGATCAAGCATAAATTGACTTTCAGTCTAGGCCTCCATTTTTTACATTTTAGTCATTTAGCAGACGCTCTTATCCAGAGCGACTTACAGTTAGTGAATGCATACGTTTCTTTAAAAAAAATGTTTTACCCCATGACAAAGCAAAAACTGGTTTAGAAATGTTTAAAAATGTATTTAAAATAAAACTGAAATAATATATTTAAATAAGTATTCAGACCCTTTACTCAGTACTTTGTTGAAGCACCTTTGGCAGCGATTACAGCCTCGAGTCTTCTTGGGTATGACGCTACAAGCATGGCACACCTGTATTTGGGGGAGTTTCTCCCATTCTTCTCTGCAGATCCTCTCAAGCTCTGTCAGGTTGGATGGGGAGCGTTGCTTCACAGCTATTTTCAGGTCTCCCAGAGAAGTTTGATCGGGTTCAAGTCCGGACTCTGGCTGGGCCACTCGAGGACATTCAGAGACTTGTCCCGAAGCCACTCCTGCATTGTCTTGGCTGTGTGCTTAGGGTCGTTGTCCTGTTGGAAGGTGAACCTTTGCCCCAGTCGGCGGTCCTGAGTGCTCTGGAGCAGGTTTTCATCAGGGATCTCTGTTCTTCCTCCGTTAATCTTTCCCTCGATCCTGACTAGACTCCCAGTCCCAGCCGCTGAAAAACATCCCCACAGCATGATGCTGCCACCACCATGCTTCACCGTAGGGATGGTGCAAGGCTTCCTCCAGACGTGATGCTTAGCATTCAGGCCAAAGAGTTCAATATTGGTTTCAACAGACCAGAGAATCTTGATTCTCATGGTCTGAGATTCCTTTAGGGGCCTTTTGTCAAACTCCAAGCAGGCTGTCATGTACCTTTTACTGAGGAGTGGCTTCCGTCTGGCCACTCTACCATAAAGGCCTGATTGGTGGAGTGCTGCAGAGATGGTTGTCCTTCTGGAAGGTTCTCCCATCTCCACAGAGGAACTCTGGAGCTCTGTCAGAGTGACCATCGGGTTCTTGGTCACCTCCCTGACCAAGGCCCTTCTCTCCCGACTGCTCAGTTTGGCCGGGCGGCCAGCTCTAGGAATTGTCTTGGTGGTTCTAAACTTCTTCCATTTAAGTATGATGAAGGCCACTGTGTTCTTGGGGACCTTCAATGCTGCAGAAATGTTTTGCTACCCTTCCCCAGATCTGTTCCTCGACACAATCCTGTCTCGGAGCTCTACGGACAATTCTTTCGACCTCATGGCTTGGTTTTTGCTCTGACATGCACTGTCAACTGTGGGACCTTATGTAGACAGGTGTGTGCCTTTCCAAATCATGTCCAATCAATAGAATTTACCACAGGTGGACTCAAATCAAGTTGTAGAAACTTCTCAAGGATGATCAATGGAAACAGGATGCACTGGAGCTCAATTTCTAGTCTCATAGCAAAGGGTCTGAATACGTAGGTAAATAAGGTATTTCTGTTTTTAATACACTTGCAAACATTTCAAAAAACCTGTTTTTGCTTTGTCATTATGGGGTGGTGTGTGTAGATTGATGAGGATTTTTTATTTATTTTTACCATTTTAGAATAAGGCCGTAAGATAAAATGTGTGTGGGGGGGGGGGTCAAAAGCTGGCTATTACCGTCTAACGGAAACCCTGGTGTGAAGGTGAGTGATGACATATTTCAGTATATTCATAGGGCCGGTCACAGTGATATAGTGAAGGAGGAGGTGCATTAGTTACCATCCAGGGAGGAGGAGGGGGAGTTGTTAGCGGAGGTGTTGAGCGCGTGCAGCATCTGTTCACACCAGGTGGTGAAGCCGTCCTGGGGCTTCATGCCCTGCAGCAGCTTCAGCAGTTTGTCCTCCTCCTCTGTACGCTTCTTCCTCAACATGTACTGCTCGCTGCAGGGGGACACAGAAAAAAACTCACACACACAGGCCTTGAAACAGTTTACATACACACAAAACGTTAACACATGCCGTTAAACAGAGGCAAACACACACACAAACACAGTGAGGTGTACCTAAGAGAGGGGCTGCTGCGGCTGTTCTTCATGCCCATGTTGCGGAGGCTGTTCTGGTTCTTCACAGCCTCCTCCCAGACACCCATCCCTCCAGAGCTGCCTTTGGGCTCCATGCCCCCACCAGACCACATGCCCACAGACCCCTCACCCCATTGACCCATAGACAGGCCTCCATGCTGGGGGAAGACGGCGAGAGAACATAGGGACATGTGTTACACTACTGGTTACCAGTGCCTGAAACTAACTTTTTGGTCCACCAGCCAAAATATTTTTTGCCATAATTACACCAACCCACCAAGCTCACTTTAGTAGACTTCAGTCAATTAGACCAGTGGTTCCCAACCAGGGGTACTAGGACCCCTGGGGGTACTTGGCCTATCCACATTGGGTACTTGAAAAGACTCATGAGTCTATAGGGTTACTGGTAAAATGCACAAATGTACTTCAGGGGTATTCCGGGCAGAGCAAAATTCAGTTGGTGGTACAGTAACCAAAAAAGGTTGGGAACCATTGAATTAGACCAACGTATGCCTTTGTGCAGAGTTTCTAAAAATGAATCTTTAAGCAGTGTTTAAGCAGCTGTGATTAGCTACCAGCTATGAAACAAAATGACAAACACATTGAAAACAGCTAATGCAGCATTTATTTTTCTATAAATGTCCTCATACCTAACTTCTACTTGAATTTTTATTCCCAAATGTGAGGGAAATATTTGCATTGTGGAGCCCTGACCACCTGCCAACATGGCTGGTGAAATAGACCTTACATGCCAATGCCAAAATCTACCCACATTTGGCAGGTGTTAATTTTAGGCCCTGCTGGTTACACTTATGGGCATTGTAATAAATATCCTCAGAACACAGATCTCTTCTCAGGTAACTACTATACCTTTCAAAACCTTCCTGTTTAAAACAGAATAGACGGGACAGCCCGTGTGAAGGTTTTGGGGTGTGTGTGTCTCCTCACCCGGTCTCTCTGCTGCTGGGCCTTCTGGTGCTGTGCCTGCTGTTTGAGCAGCCTCTCGGTCTCCAGTTCCAGCATGCTGAGGCTCTTGCCTTGCTTGGAGAGGACTGATGCCTGGGGGCCGCTCCACCCAGACCCCGATCCAGAGACACACCCTGGGCCCCCGGGCTGGGCCTGCTGCAGCAGCTTCATGATCAGCTCCTGCTGCTGCCGACACTGCTGCTTACGCCTGTACAGCTCCTCCTCCTCACGCCTCTTCTGCTCCTCTTGCTGCCTCCTCTTCTCCTCCCGCCGCTTCCTCTCCTCCTCCTCTCGCTTGGCCCTGAGCTCAACCTCACGCCGTTCCTGGAGCTGAGGTACAAGAGACGAACAGAGTGAGAGAGAGATTGTCAGAGAGAGAGAGAGGAGGGGAGACGGAGAGAAAACTAAACCAAGTACCTTCTGTAGCTGCTCCAGAGATGGCCCCTGAGTGGAATGACTCATGGTTAAGTCCCATAGGTTGGCCTCACCGCCTGGAATAGGCCACAAACACGTTACTGACATACAATGGCAACGTGTACAAGGACATCCGGGTGAATGAAAAGATGTATAGCTGAGGTGTATCAGTGTTGGAGGATATGCAAGAGTGTGTGCTTATACAAATACGGTCAAATACAATGCTCCAAAAAATAAAGGGAACACTTAGGAAGCAACACTGATTGACAATACATTTCACATGCTGTTGTGCAAATGGAATAGACAACAGGTGGAAATTATAGGCAATTAGCAAGACACCCCCAATAAAGGACTGGTTTTGCAGGTGGTGACCACAGACCACTTCTCAGTTCCTATGCTTCCTGGCTGATGTTTTGGTCACTTTTGAATGCTGGCGGTGCTTTCACTCTAGTGGTAGCATGAGACAGAGTCTACAACCCACACAAGTGGCTCAGGTAGTGCAGCTCATCCAGGATGGCACATCAATGCGAGCTGTGGCAAGAAGGTTTGCTGTGTCTGTCAGCGTAGTGTCCAGAGCATGGAGGCGCTACCAGGAGACAGGCCAGTACATCAGGAGACGTGGAGGAGGCCGTAGGAGGGCAACAACCCAGCAGCAGGACTGCTACCTCCGCCTTTGTGCAAGGAGGAGCACTGCCAGAGCCCTGCAAAATGACCTCCAGCAGGCCACAAATGTGCATGTGTCTGCTCAAACGGTCAGAAACAGACTCCATGAGGGTGGTATGAGGGCCCGACGTCCACAGGTGGGGGTTGTGCTTACAGCCCAACACCGTGCAGGACGTTTGGCATTTGCCAGAGAACACCAAGATTGGCAAATTCGCCACTGGCGCCCTGTGCTCTTCACAGATGAAAGCAGGTTCACACTGAGCACACGTGACAGAGTCTGGAGACGCTGTGGAGAACGTTCTGCTGCCTGCAACATCCTCCAGCATGACCGGTTTGGCGGTTGGTCAGTCATGGTGTGGGTTGGCATTTCTTTGGGGGGCCGCACAGCCCTCCATGTGCTCGCCAGAGGTAGCCTGACTGCCATTAGGTACCGAGATGAGATAATAATAATAATAATAATAATAATAATAAGCCATTTAGCAGACGCTTTTATCCAAAGCGACTTACAGTCATGCGTGCATACATTTTTGTATATGGGTGGTCCCGGGGATCGAACCCACTACCTTGACGTTACAAGCGCCGTGGTCTACCAGCTGAGCTACAGAGGACCACAGATCCTCAGACCCCTTGTGAGACCATATGCTGGTGCGGTTGGCCCTGGGTTCCTCCTAATGCAAGACAATGCTAGACCTCATGTGGCTGGAGTGTGTCAGCAGTTCCTGCAAGAGGAAGGCATTGATGCTATGGACTGGCCCGCCCGTTCCCCAGACCTGAATCCAATTGAGCACATCTGGGACATCATGTCTTGCTCCATCCACCAACGCCACGTTGCACCACAGACTGTCCAGGAGTTGGCGGATGCTTTAGTCCAGGTCTGGGAGGAGATCCCTCAGGAGACCATCCGCCACCTCATCAGGAGCATGCCCAGGCAGTGTAGGGAGGCCATACAGGCACGTGGAGGCCACACACACTACTGAGCCTCATTTTGACTTGTTTTAAGGACATTACATCAAAGTTGGATCAGCCTGTAGTGTGGTTTTCCACTTTAATTTTGAAGGTGACTCCAAATCCAGACCTCAATGGGTTGATATCCATTGATAATTTTTGTATGATTTTGTTGTCAGCACATTCAACTATGTAAAGAAAAAAGTATTTAATAAGATTATTTCATTCATTCAGATCTAGGGTGTGTTATTTTAGTGTTCCCTTTATTTTTTTGAGCAGTGTATATTGGCACCCTTGCACTTTACAATGGATTGCAATGGAGCAGAACTTTCTCTTTCAAAACTGGTTGAATGGCTATTTTTACCCTGTAGGCACCGGCAACTTACCACAAGTAGGATAAATAATATTTGCTGAGAATTACTTCGCCTCTAACCAAATTAATTAATTAACAATTTAACAACTTTGACTTTGAAGCGTAAAATCATAATTTCAGTAGTGATTTTTTGTGTGGTTCCGTGCAGTTGTAAATCAAACAAATACGTGCGAACAGCAAAAGTTTTAAATTCCAAATAATTTTAGAAGAACGTGTCCCAATATCTTTGACCGCACCTGTATAAAGTGTGCTTATATAAAGGTGTATGTGAAGCAGAGAAAGACTCAGTGGGTTCCTTTTCAGTACCTGACTGCTGGGAGGCTGAGGTACGCATGTCCCACATAGACCCATTATCTGGTACTGACATTGACCTGTTCATCGAGGGTATCATGCTAGAATCCCCACTCCTGAAAACAGAAACGCATTAGTACACTCACAAATACCCTCATATACATCCAGTGTGTGTGTTGTGGTGTGTGTGTGCGCGCCTACCTGTTCATGTGCTGGAACCTTATCTGCAGTTGCTGGTATAGAGCTGCAGTGGCTGCCTGCTCTAACTGTTTCTTCAGCAGCTCCTGATCCATATTGCTCTGGGGAACAACACCTACAGGGTTACCATACTGACTATACGACTGCTTCAGACAACACCCAAGCACACTACAGATTATCTGCTCTGGATAGATACACAATACAGCTACAAGAGACAATATACATTATATTCAGTAAAACACATGATTTTGCCTATGCCACTGTGGTACTCTACTTATTCACAGAAAATATGTTCACCACAGTCAATTATCTATGTGCCTTTGCTGTACCTGGATTAACTGACAAACTAACCACAGACACCACTAAACAACCACATACTAAGACTCCACCAGTAAACAGAAACACCCAGACAGATGTGTGCTCGCTGACTCACAGAGGACCCCCGAGGTGGTGGGGGCTGTCTCACCAGCAGGGGCGGGGGGGACGGGCCAGGGGAGAATGGCACACGCCCCCACATCTTGATGACGTCACCCAGGGGCTGGAAGCCCTCATCACAACCCCTCTTTACCAGCAGGGTCATTGAGAAGTATCCTGCCTGGAACCATTCGCACATCTCTACCGTGGAGAAGGGACCTGGACCGGGGGGAGGAGAGGAGTAAGACATTGGTCATGACAAAACAATATGACAATGTGATAAAGTACCTGTAAAGTATTATATGCAACAAATATTGAAATATGTACAGTGCCTTCAGAAATTAAATCAGACCCCTTGACTTATTCCACATTGTTGTGTTAAAGCCTGAAATCAAAATTGATTAAATTGATTTTTTTTCTCTCATCCAGCTACAACATGTTTAGACATTTTTGCAAATTTATTGCAAATGTATATGTAATTTACGTAAGTATTCACACCCACAAGTTAATACTTTGTAGAAGGACCTTGGGTGGCTATTACAGCTGAGTCGTCTTTGGTATGTCTATCAGCTTTGCACATCTGGATTCTCACCCATTCCTCCTTGCAGATTTTTTCAAGCTCTGTTAAATTAGATGGGGAGCGGCGGTGAACAGCAATCTTCAAGTCTTTCCACAGATTTTCAATGGGATTCAAGTCTGGGCTTTGGCTGGACCACTCAAGGACTTTCACATTCTTGTTCTGAACCATTCCAGCATTGCTTTGGCTGTATGCTTGGGGTCATTATCCTGTTGGAATGTAAATCTTCTCCCCCATAGCATGATTATGCCGCCACCACCACCATGCTTCACGGTAGGGATGGTGTTAGATGGGTAATGAGCTGTGCCTGGTTCTCAAAACACAGTGCTTTGAATTTAGGCCAAATAATTAAATTTGTCTCATCAGACCACAGAATATTTTGCCTAATGCTCTGTCTTTCATGTGCCTTCTTGCAAATTTCAGGTGTGCTATCATGTGCAGTTTTCTCAGGAGTGGCTTCAGTCTAGCCCCTCTCTCATAAAGCTCAGATTAGCAAAGTGCTGTAGAGACTGTGGTCCTTCTGGCAGGTTCGCCAATCTCAGCCAAATAACTCTGTAGTTCTGTCAGAGTGGTCATTGGGTTCTTGGTCACCTCCCTGACCAAGGTCATTCTTTCCCGGTTGCTCAGTTTGGTCAGACAGCCAGCTCTAGGCAGAGTCTGGTTGGTTCCATATTTTTCCATTTCCCAATGATGGAGACCAATGTGCTCATGGAAACTTTCAACACTCTAGAAATCATTTTATACTCTTCCCCAGATATGCCTCATCACAATTCTATCTCGGAGATCTACGGACAGTTCCTTGGACTTCACGGTATAGTTTCTGCTCTGACATGCACTGTCAACTGTGGGACCTTATACAGTGGGGAGAACAAGTATTTGATACACTGCCGATTTTGCAGGTTTTCCTACTTACAAAGCATGTAGAGGTCTGTAATTTTTATCATAGGTACACTTCAACTGTGAGAGACGGAATCTAAAACAAAAATCCAGAAAATCACATTGTATGATTTGTAAGTAATTAATTTGCATTTTATTGCATGACATAAGTATTTGATCACCTACCAACCAGTAAGAATTCCGGCTCTCACAGACCTGTTCGTTTTTCTTTAAGAAGCCCTCCTGTTCTTCACTCATTACCTGTATTAACTGCACCTGTTTGAACTCGTTACCTGTATAAAAGACATCTGTCCACACACTCAATCAAACAGACTCCAACCTCTCCACAATGGCCAAGACCAGAGAGCTGTGTAAGGACATCAGGGATAAAATTGTAGACCTGCACAAGGCTGGGATGGGCTACAGGACAATAGGCAAGCAGCTTGGTGAGAAGGCAACAACTGTTGGCGCAATTATTAGAAAATGGAAGAAGTTCAAGATGACGGTCAATCACCCTCGGTCTGGGGCTCCATGCAAGATCTCACCTCGTGGGGCATCAATGATCATGAGGAAGGTGAGGGATCAGCCCAGAACTACACGGCAGGACCTGGTCAATGACCTGAAGAGAGCTGGGACCACAGTCTCAAAGAAAACCATTAGTAACACACTATGCCGTCATGGATTAAAATCCTGCAGCACACGCAAGGTCCCCCTGCTCAAGCCAGCGCATGTCCAGGCCCGTCTGAAGTTTGCCAATGACCATCTGGATGATCCAGAGGAGGAATGGGAGAACGTCATGTGGTCTGATGAGACAAAAATAGAGCTTTCTGGTCTAAACTCCACTCGCCGTGTTTGGAGGAAGAAGAAGGATGAGTACAACCCCAAGAACACCATCCCAACCGTGAAGAATGGAGGTGGAAACATCATTCTTTGGGGATGCTTTTCTGCAAAGGGGACAGGACGACGGCACCGTATTGAGGGGAGAATGGATGGGGCCATGTATCGCGAGATCTTGGCCAACAACCTCCTTCCCTCAGTAAGAGCATTGAAGATGGGTCGTGGCTGGGTCTTCCAGCATGACAACGACCCGAAACACACAGCCAGGGCAACTAAGGAGTGGCACCGTAAGAAGCATCTCAAGGTCCTGGAGTGGCCTAGCCAGTCTCCAGACCTGAACCCAATAGAAAATCTTTGGAGGGAGCTGAAAGTCCGTATTGTCCAGCGACAGCCCCGAAACCTGAAGGATCTGGAGAAGGTCTGTATGGAGGAGTGGGCCAAAATCCCTGCTGCAGTGTGTGCAAACCTGGTCAAGACCTACAGGAAACGTATGATCTCTGTAATTGCAAACAATGGTTTCTGTACCAAATATTAAGTTCTGCTTTTCTGATGTATCAAATACTTATGTCATGCAATAAAATGCAAATTCATTACTTAAAAATCATACAATGTGATTTTCTGGATTTTTGTTTTAGATTCCGTCTCTCACAGTTGAAGTGTACCTATGATAAAAATTACAGACCTCTACATGCTTTGTAAGTAGGAAAACCTGCAAAATCGGCAGTGTATCAAATACTTGTTCTCCCCACTGTATAGACAGGTGGGTTTCTTTCTAAATAATGTCCAAGCAATTGAATTGGTCACAGGTGGACTCCAATCAAGTTGTAGTGACTTTTCAAGGATGATTTTAAAAAAGTGGATGCCCGCAGAGCTTAATTTGGAGTGTCATAGCAAAGGGGTGTGAATTTTAATTTAACAAATTTGCAGAAATGTCTAAAAACAAGTTTTCACTTTGTCATTATTGGGTATCGTGTGTAAATGGGTGGGAAAAAAACAATTTAATCAATTTTGAATACAGGCTGTAACAAAATGTTGTCAAGGGTATGAATACTTTGAAGGCACAGAGCAGTCGGAAAGTATTCAGACCCCTTCCTTTTTACACACTGTTACGTTAACCTTATTCTAAAATGGATTAAATTATTTTTTTCTCTCATCAATCCACACACAATACCCCATGACGACAAAGCGAAAAGTGGTTTTTAGAAAGTTTTGCTAATTTATTCTAAATAAAAGAGAAATATCTTATTTACATAAGTATTCAGACCCTTTGCTATGCGACTCGAAATTTAGCTCAGGTGCATCCTGTTTCATTGATCATCCTTGAGAAGTTTCTACAACTTCATTGGAGTCCACCTGTGGTAAATTAAATTAATTGGACATGATTTGGAAAGGCACACACCTGTCTATATAAAGGTCCCACAGTTGACAGTGCATGTCAGAGCAAAAACCAAGCCATGAGGTTGAAGGAATTGTCCATAGAGCTCCGAGACATTATCAGATCTGGGGAAGGGTGGCCAAAAAATTCTGCAGCATTGAAGGTCCCCAAGAACACAGATGCCTCCATCATTCTTGAATGGAAGAAGTTTGGAACCACCAAAACTCTTCCTGGAGCTGGCCGCCCGGCCAAACTGAGCAATCGGGGGAAAAGGGCCTTTGTCAGGGAGGTGACCAAGCACCTGACGGTCACTATGACAGAGCTCCAGAGTTCCTCTGTGGAGAGGGGAGAACCTTCCAGAAGGAAAACCATCTCTGCAGCACTCCACCAATCAGGCCTTTATGGTAGAGTAGCCAGACGCAAGCCACTCCTCAGTAAAAGGTACATGACAGCCCACTTGGAGTTTTCCAAAAGGTACCTAAAGGACACAGACCATGACAAACAAGATTCTCTGGTCTGATGAAACCAAGATTTAACTATTTGGCCAGAGTGCCAAGCCTCACGCCTGGAGGAAACCTTGCACCATCCCTACGGTGAAGCATGGTGGTGACAGCATCATGCTGTGGGGATGTTTTTCAGCGGCAGGGACTGGGAGACTAGTCAGGATCGAGGGAAAGAATAACGGAGCAAAGAGATCCTTGATGAAACCTGCTTCAGAGCACTCAGGACCTCTGACTGGGGCGAAGGTTCACCTTCCAACAGGACAACGACCCTAAGCACACAGTCAAGACAACACAGGAGTGGCTTCGGGACAAGTCTCTGAATGTCATTGAGTGGCCCAGCCAGAGCTCGGACTTGAACCCGATCGAACGTCTCTGGAGAGCCTGAAAATAGCTGTGCAGCATTGCTCCCCATCCAACATGATAGAGATTGAAAGGATCTGCAGAGAATGGGAGAAACTCCCCAAATACAGGTGCGCCAAGCTGGTAGAGTCATACCCAAGAAGACTCGAGGCTGTAATCACTGCCAAAGGTGGTTCAACAAAATACTGCGTAAAGGGTCTGAATACTTATTTAAATGTCATATTTATGCTTTTTATTTTTATTAATTTTGCAAAAATGTCTAAAAACCTGTTTTTGCTTAGTCATTATGGGGTATTCCATGTAGATTGATGAGGAAAAAACAATTCAATCAATTTTAGATTAAGGCTGTAATGTAACAAAATGTAGAAAAAGTAAAGGGGTCTGAATACTTTCCGAATGCACTGCAACTGCTAAAAAATGATTGTGAATGTGTGTGGGTCTACCTTGGATTTCTGCCTGGGGGTCCTTGTAGAACCACTTCATGGCTGCCTCGTGGGAGAGTGGCAGGGCACAGTCCCTATGGACCGAGTGGGAGTGTGTGTGTCCAGCGGTGCGTGTGTGTGAGCGTGGGGCTGGGTGTGTGTGAGAGTGGGAGGAGATGTTGTGGCTCTCCTGCAGTGCTTGAGTGAAACTCTCCTCCTCAAGGGATGTGTCCTGCAGAGATGCCACCATCTTTTCAGCCTCCTACAAGGGTGGGAGAGGAAGATTAAAAATATGAACATTTACATAACACTAACACACATTCAGCCAGTATATCAAGTGTAATCTTAAATCGTGACAATAAATCCAGTATTTCTAAGTAAAAATTAATGCATGTCTAATTGACATGGTAATGTACCTGTTGCAGGTGCTTCATGCCCTCGTCCTCCTCCACTTCTCCCCCTGTTGATGGGAGGAGAGAACTGAAGGAGGGAGGAGGCATCAGGCTGGAGGTGGTGGTGGTGGAGGAGCAGGGGTCTGGACTGAGCTGAGCACCACTCCCTGGAGGTGAGCTGCCTGTGAGACCACAGAGAGAACAGGGGGAGAGAGGATGAGACATGTACAACTACTGTACTAGGGCCACAACTGAGCATACAGGTGAAACATTCTCTGGAGCAGATACAAACTGATGCCCAGTGAAGATGGTTCAAAAGAGCAAGGAGAAATGGTCAAAAATCCATTTCATGATAAATTTACTGAATTATGAAGACGACACATTTATAAATTGAATAAGCACCAGTTATTTATTTGACCCTTTAAACTACTCTTACTAATTTGAACATAATAAATTGTCCCGTTAGCAATAGCCCACATTAGCAGTAAAGGCTACTTATCGTTATTATTGACATCAGTAAAATGTATTCGATAAATGGTCAGTGTTGATACTTTCGGTTTATCGTCCCAGCTCTAGTTCACAACATGTGCATATCAGTAATTCAGTCAGGGCTCTAAAGTGCAAGCAATTTAATCGCATATTTTTTATTTAACCAGGTAAGCCAGTTGAGAACAAGTTCTCATTTACAACTGCGACCTGGCCAAGATAAAGCAAAGCAGTGCGATAAAAACAACAACACAGAGTTACATATGGGGTAAAACAAAACAAAGTAAAAAATACAACAGAAAATATATATACAGTGTGTGCAAATGTAGCAAGTTATGGAGGTAAGGTAATAAATAGGCTATAGTGCAAAATAATTACAATTAGTATTAACACTGGAATGATAGATGTGAAGGGGTGATGTGCAAATAGAGATACTGGGGTACAAATGAGCAAAATAAATAACAATATGGGGATGAGGTAGTTGGGTGGGCTAATTTCAGATGGGCTGTGTACAGGTGCAGTGATCGGTAAGGTGCTCTGACAACTGATGCTTAAAGTTAGTGAGGGAGATAAGAGTCTCCAGCTTCAGAGATTTTTGCAGTTCGTTCCAGTCATTGGCAGCAGAGAACTGGAAGGAACGGTGGCCAAAGGAGGTGTTGGCTTTGGGGATGAACAGTGAGATATACCTGCTGGAGCGCATACTACGGGTGGGTGTTGCTATGGTGACCAATGAGCTAAGATAAGGCGGGGATTTGCCTAGCAGTGATTTATAGATGGCCTGGAGCCAGTGGGTTTGACGACGAATATGTAGTGAGGACCAGCCAACAAGAGCGTACAGGTCACAGTGGTGGGTAGTATATGGGGCTTTGGTGACAAAACGGATGGCACTGTGATAGACTACATCCAATTTGCTGAGTAGAGTGTTGGAGGCTATTTTGTAAATGACATCGCCGAAGTCAAGGATCGGTAGGATAGTCAGTTTAACGAGGGCATGTTTGGCAGCATGAGTGAAGGAGGCTTTGTTGCGAAATAGGAATTCTAGATGTAACTTTGGATTGGAGATTCTTAATGTGAGTCTGGAAGGAGAGTTTACAGTCTAACCAGACACCTAGGTATTTGTAGTTGTCCACATACTCTAGGTCAGACTCGTCGAGAGTAGTGATTCTAGTCGGGTGGGTGGGTGCCAGCAGCGTTCGATTGAAGAGCATGCATTTAGTTTTACTAGTGTTTAAGAGCAGTTGGAGGCTACTGATGGAGTGTTGTATGGCATATGCGGCTAAATATTTTGCTGTGCGACCAGGAGTTTTATTTTGGGGGCACTGTGCGACTAGGAAAAAACATATCCCCGATAACTGCTGTAATAAGGCTTTGCAGTACCGTTGTTTCAGAGTGCCCTAGAGAAAAAGTGAGTGCAGAGTAGATAGCGTCATGGTTGCACCATTACTACAGCAAAAACTGTTAGCTTCTAGCCCAACCAAGTCGAAAGATCTGACCCATATTACCAGCACAACATTTTTATCTTCCTATAGCGAATCGCAGGGACTGCATTTTACATTCAAACCATGTCATCATGGACCATTCTAAAACTACTTGCGTGTCGTTAACCATTTGTTTACACTTTGAGCAATGACAAAGAAATGATCAGTCTATAATTTTAATGGTAGGTTTATTTGAACAGTGAGAGACAGAATAACAACAAAAAAATCCAGAAAAACGCATGTCAAAAATGTTATAAATTGATTTGCATTTTAATGAGGGAAATAAGTATTTGACCCCCTCTCAATCAGAAAGATTTCTGTCTCCCAGGTGTCTTTTATACAGGTACGAGCTGAGATTAGGAGCACACTCGTAAAGGGAGTGCTCCTAATCTCAGCTTGTTACCTGTATAAAAAAGACTCCTGTCCACAGAAGCAATCAATCAGATTCCAAACTCTCCACCATGGCCAAGACCAAAGAGCTCTCCAAGGATGTCAGGGACAAGATTGTAGACCTACACAAGGCTGGAATGGGCTACAAGACCATCGCCAAGCAGCTTGGTGAGAAGGTGACAGTTGGTGCGATTATTCGTAAATGGAAGAAACACAAAATAACTGTCAATCTCCCTCGGCCTGGGTCTCCATGCAAGATCTCACCTCGTGGAGTTGCAATGATCATGAGAACGGTGAGGAATCAGCCCTGAACTACATGGGAGGATCTTGTCAATTATCTCGTCAATGATCTCAAGGCAGCTGGGACCATAGTCATCAAGAAAACAATTGGAACACACTACACCGTGAAGGACTGAAATCCTGCAGCACCCGCAAGGTCCCCCTGCTCAAGAAAGCACATATACAGGCCCGTCTGAAGTTTGCCAATGAACATCTGAATGATTCAGAAGAGAACTGGGTGAAAGTGTTGTGGTCAGATGAGACCAAAATGGAGCTCTTTGGCATCAACTCAACTCGCCGTGTTTGGAGGAGGAGGAATGCTGCCTATGACCCCAAGAACACCATCCCCACCGTCAAACATGGTGGAAACATGCTTTGGGGGTGTTTTTCTGCTAAGGGGACAGGACAACTTCACTGCATCAAAGGGACGATGGACGGGGCCATGTACCGTCAAATCTTGGGTGAGAACCTCCTTCCCTCAGCCAGGGCATTGAAAATGGGTCGTGGATGGGTATTCCAGCATGACAATGACCCAAAACACACAGCCAAGGCAACAAAGGAGTGGCTCAAGAAGAAGCACATTAAGGTCCTGGAGTGGCCTAGCCAGTCTCCAGACCTTAATCCCATAGAAAAATCTGTGGAGGGAGCTGAAGGTTCGAGTTGCCAAACGTCAGCCTCGAAACCTTAATGACTTGGAGGAGATCTGCAAAGAGGAGTGGTACAAAATCCCTCCTGAGATGTGTGCAAACCTGGTGGCCATCTACAAGACACGTCTGACATCTGTGATTGCCAACAAGGGTTTTGCCACCAAGTACTAAGTCATGTTTTGCAGAGGGGTCAAATACTTATTTCCTTCATTAAAATGCAAATCAATTAATAACATTTTTGACATGCGTTTTTCTGGATTTCTTTGTTGTTATTCTGTCGCTCACTGTTCAAATAAACCTACCATTAAAATTATAGACTGATAATGTCAGTGGGCAAACGTACAAAATCAGCAGGGGATCAAATACCTTTTTCCCTCACTGTACATTTATTTTTACTCTTTTAATATATAATAATAATAATAATAAGCCATTTAGCTATATCGCAGCTAAGGGCTGTATCCAGCTGCGGTCATATTGGCCATATACCAGAAACTCCTGAGGTGCTTTATTGCTATTATAAACTGGTAACCAACATAATTAGAAGAGTTTTTGGTATATTGGCCATCAACTGTACCACACCCCCTCAGGCCTTATTGCTTAATTATAATGTTGTATAATAATGTTGCGTAATCACTGTGCGGTGTAAAAAAACATGGAAATTAAAAACAAAAAAACAATGTTTTAAGTGAGAATAGGCATTGGTCTGTAGCCGAAAAAGAAAATTCACATCAGCACTACAATGCCTATTCCACCCATGCTCTAGCAAGGTTTTCCAGTACACAGCTTTGACCTACTACAGTAGCTATGTTGGTATTGTACTTCAAACTACAGTACCAGTCAAAAGTTTGGACACACCTACTCATTCAAGGGTTGTTCTTTATTTTTACTATTTTCTACATTGTAGAATAATAGTGAAGACCTCAAAACTATGAAATATCACATATGGAATCATGTAGTGACCAAAAAAGTGTTAAACAAATCAAAATATATTTTATATTTGAGATTCTTCACATTAGCCACCCTTGATGACAGCGTCGCACAATCTTGGCCTTCTTCCTTTCCTGTGCTGCACTTGAAGAAACTGTCAACGTTCTTGAAATTTTCCGGATTGACTGTCTTAAAGTAATGATGCACTGTTGTTTTTCTTTGCTTATCTTAACTGTTCTTGCCATAATATGGACTTGGTCTTTTACCAAATAGGGCTATCTTCTGTATACCAACCCTACCTTGTCACAACACAACTGATTGGCTCAAACGGATTAAGGAAAGAAATTCCAAAAATTAACAAAGGCACACCTGTTAATAAATGCATTCCAGGTGACTACCTCATGAAGCTGGTTGAGAGAATGCAAAGAGTGTGCAAAGCTGTCATCAAGGCAAAGGGTGGCTACTTTGAAGAATCTCAAATATAAAATATATTTTGATTTGTTTAACACTTTTTTGGTCACTACATGATTCCATGTGTTATTTCATAGTTTTGATGTCTTCACTATTATTCTACAATGTAGAAAATAGTAAAAATAAAGAAAAACCCTTGAATGAGTAGGTGTGTCCAAACTTTTGACTGGTACTGTATGTGTAGGCAGGTTGCTTCGGATTCAAACCTTCTCAAACAGCCTAATTCATACTCTCCAGAGGGAAAATTGACTTGTGTCCTGCTAATTAAAATGATGTATACCGATATACACACACACACACACACACACACACACACACACACACAAACACACATACAGTGGGGGAAAAAAGTATTTAGTCAGCCACCAATTGTGCAAGTTCTCCCACTTAAAAAAGATGAGGCCTGTAATTTTCATCATAGGTACACGTCAACTATGACAGACAAAATGAGAGAATTTTTTTTCCAGAAAATCACATTGTAGGATTTTTTATGAATTTATTTGCAAATTATGGTGGAAAATAAGTATTTGGTCAATAACAAAAGTTTCTCAATACTTTGTTATATACCCTTTGTTGGCAATGACACAGGTCAAACGTTTTCTGTAAGTCTTCACAAGGTTTTCACACACTGTTGCTGGTATTTTGGCCCATTCCTCCATGCAGATCTCCTCTAGAGCAGTGATGTTTTGGGGCTGTCGCTGGGCAACACAGACTTTCAACTCCCTCCAAAGATTTTCTATGGGGTTGAGATCTGGAGACTGGCTAGGCCACTCCAGGACCTTGAAATGCTTCTTACAAAGCCACTCCTTCGTTGCCCGGGCGGTGTGTTTGGGATCATTGTCATGCTGAAGGACCCAGGCACGTTTCATCTTCAATGCCCTTGCTGATGGAAGGAGGTTTTCACTCAAAATCTCACGATGCATGGCCCCATTCATTCTTTCCTTTACACGGATCAGTCGTCCTGGTCCCTTTGCAGAAAAACAGCCCCAAAGCATGATGTTTCCACCCCCATACTTCACAGTAGGTATGGTGTTCTTTGGATGCAACTCAGCATTCTTTGTCCTCCAAACACGACGAGTTGAGTTTTTACCAAAAAGTTCTATTTTGGTTTCATCTGACCATATGACATTCTCCCAATCCTCTTCTGGATCATCCAAATGCACTCTAGCAAACTTCAGACGGGCCTGGACATGTACTGGCTTAAGCAGGGGGACACGTCTGGCACTGCAGGATTTGAGTCCCTGGCGGCGTAGTGTGTTACTGATGGTAGGCTTTGTTACTTTGGTCCCAGCTCTCTGCAGGTCACTCACTAGGTCCCCCCGTGTGGTTCTGGGATGTTTTCTCACCGTTCTTGTGATCATTTTGACCCCACGGGGTGAGATCTTGCGTGGAGCCCTAGATCGAGGGAGATTATCAGTGGTCTTGTATGTCTTCCATTTCCTAATAATTGCTCCCACAGTTGATTTCTTCAAACCAAGCTGCTTACCTATTGCAGATTCAGTCTTCCCAGCCTGGTGCAGGTCTACAATTTTGTTTCTGGTGTCCTTTGACAGCTCTTTGGTCTTGGCCATAGTGGAGTTTGGAGTGTGACTGTTTGAGGTTGTGGACAGGTGTCTTTTATACTGATAACAAGTTCAAACAGGTGCCATTAATACAGGTAACGAGTGGAGGACAGAGGAGCCTCTTAAAGAAGAAGTTACAGGTCTGTGAGAGCCAGAAATCTTGCTTGTTTGTAGGTGACCAAATACTTATTTTCCACCATAATTAGCAAATAAATTCATTAAAAATCCTACAATGTGATTTTCTGGATGTTCTTTTCTCAATTTGTCTGTCATAATTGACGTGTACCTATGATGAAAATTACAGGCCTCTCTCATCTTTTTAAGTGGGAGAACTTGCACAATTGGTGGCTGACTAAATACTTTTTTCCCCCACTGTATACACACACCACTTTTTATTCACAAATGCGAGTGAAATGCTTGCATTGTGGAGCCCTGACCACCCGCCTACGTGGCTGGTAAAATAGACATCTTACCCATCAAAGCCTAAATCTACCCGCATTTGGCAGGTGTTAATTTGAGATCTCTTGCATGTCAACATCGCAAACCTGACATATTTAATAAGACAATGTACATGCATCAACAGGAAAATAATACTTTTACACAATGTAAAAACCTAATATTCCACAAATGACTTTGTAATTTCAATTGTATCAACATTTTAGCTTTTATTATAAATACATGTCTTTACATATTAGTTTAGGGCACAACATGTGCTTCAAAAGTAGCTAGAATTAATAAAAGGCCCAATATAGGCTGTATCTCAATCAATTTAAAAAATCTTATTTTTTGGTGCTACTAAATTTCATGTGCTGCTCCTAACCTTTAAGTTGGGAGCACTAGTGCTACTAATGAATATTTTTTAATTTAGAGCCCTGAATTCAGTATTTACCTTCAGTGGGCACGTGGTTGGTTTTGGAGGGGTGGGAGATGGGTGCCTGGGGAGCCTCTGGGGCACAGGGTGCAGGGAGAGGGTCTGAGGAGGGAGGGGCAGAGACAGCAGGAGGAGAAGGAGTCCTGTACTTGTCCACCTCCTCACGTGCTGCTTCACACTTATCTAGAGAGAAAGAGAGGGTGAATGTGCATTCTATGAATGCAGCAAGTTCTTCTGTTAGTTGTTTACTAAAGCCAGGGAAAGTGTCTCACCTCTGTCAGTGTAGTTATCCTTATAGTTGTCCTTGTCTTCCTGACCATTCTCCTCATCTTCCTCTAGAGCTTCAAACTCCAGATCCTCTTCAGTGATGGTGTCCTTGGAGCCTTTCTGCTTCGACAAGCATAAGGCTCAGAATAGATATAAGTAACATGCAAACACACACACGTAGACAAACAGACAGAAATAATGCCTGCCAGCCAACACACAAACCTTGATGCACATGAAGGCCCCAGAGGAGTCAAAGGTGCCCATCTCTCCATCCTCCTCATCGGTGCACCACTCAGGAAGGCCGTCCCTGTCGTCCTCCCTGCGTGGGCCCTCGCCGTCACGGAAGTCAAACTCAAACTTCCTCCGGCCGCCATGATCACGCCAGCCTGCAGACCGAGGACCCCCATCTATGTGTTTGAGATTTTGATTTGAGAGGGAGTGTCCATCAGACATGGAAAACGTGCAAAGTATTAGAAAACGTGCAACATTAGATTTGAGTAGAGGGAGTATGAGTGGTTAGGTCTGTGTTTGAGTGTACCATCACTGCGGGCTCCTGCAACTCTCCAGGCTGGCTGCTCTCCCACTCCTCCTGCTGCCTCTTCCTCCTCCTCTCGGAGCGTACGCCAGTTGTCGCTGTCGGCACGCCAGGAGTCCTTCCTGCCAAGAGGCCCCGCCTCCTCAAACCCTGGACGCACTACTTCAGCACGCCTGATTAGCTTCTCAAACCTGGGCCTATCAGCTCTGACAGAAGGAAAGACGATAAACAATAACCATCAATATGATCGAATGATAACCATCTGGGGGGCGAGGGCAGCGTAGTATAGGATAGTGAGCCTACCGGTCATCCCAGCTTTGGCTGCGGAGCATTTCTCGGCCACGACCGAAGCCCACCTCTCCATCATCAGGACCTCCAGGAGCTCTTTGGTAGAATGCACCTTCACCTCTTCCTCTCCCTGCACAAACACACATACATCAGAAATCCATTCTGGGGCCTATAACAGCAGGTTAATACATTTCTATGTGTATAGTTGCACCGTCCTGATCACTCCAGGTGGTGACTAACTGCACCTCTACCTCCTCTGATGCCTCCTCCACGACCCTTGGCCACACCTGCAGGGGCGGCCCCGCCTCCCTTTCCCATCAGCCTCAGCACAGCCACACTGTTCACAGACATGGAGAAGTTTCTCTGCAGGACAGAAGGAAGGAGAATGACGTTGACACAGAAATACATTTTGTCAACCTACACTGAAGCAGGATAAGCACATTGTGGGTGAAAGTAACAACTAAGATCTGAGATTTGAGAGTTAATCCTGCCCAAATACTTCTCAGGGATCAGAGCATTGAACCTCTGACTCACTAACCGCTCCTACATCTCCTGCAGTCTCACCTGCTCCTCCTCAGTTAGAGGCTCCAGGGCCAAAGGCTGCACAGGCTCATCTTGCAGGATAGCAGCAAACTCCTTATCCTGCATGATATCCTCTGGGGGCTGGGAACACACAGTCTGGTTTACTTCATACCCATTAGTCATAACAGGCCAGACACCTTTAACACAAACAGTTGTATTGGAATCATCAGAGTGAGTCACTCATTACATAAGCTCACCTTGTCATCTTTGATATAAAGTGCTAGCATCTCCTCGCGGCCATAGCGGTAATCGGCCAGCTTGGACTTTGGCATTGCTGGAGAGGGAGGGGGGGACGTCACACTCCGCCCTCTGGATAGTGCACGGAGCCTGGGGAAAATAAATCACCATCAGCACAATCCATGCATGCATAAATAACACTTCAAATGCAATCATTATTACTGAAATAATAGTACTGGGCCATGTGTAAGACCATATCCATCTATTATCTTCACCTCAAGTTTAGGTTGGATATGCATCGCCCATTATCTTCCCCTAGACAACTACGGGCAACAAGCAGGAGCAGAATGAAAACAGTACACAATACAACGCCGTTGATTATCTTTTAGTAAAATTTTGAGATGTTGAGTTGTTGGCAATGTAACAAGAATTTATGTTTGCGGGTGCTCTTATTGAATGATTGGAGTAGGGATAAGGAGAAGCCCAACTAAGTGTTAAAACCTGCTGATTGAGGCATTTTTCAAGGACGACTTGCGACATTCCATTATTTTAAGCTAGCTATATACAAGTTGAAGAATCATCAATAAACAAAACGTGGTTCTCTTTTCTTTACATTCTAAAACTGAAATGACCAAGGTCATGTTGACATGCACTCACTCTAAAAACAAGCCAATGGGGAAAGAGAAAATGGAGACGATAGAATGCAGTGTGTTGAGAATGGGCCAATGAGGAAACAGATTGGGGCACTGAGGGAGGAAGGAGAAAAGTGAAGGACAGGGGGAATAAGGGGGATAGTGAAGATATTCTTTAATTTACTGACATATAAGATCAATTCAATTAAAAACAAGAGTTGGTTATGGGCTAAGAATGTAAGCAGGGAGGAAAGAACTAAGTCGCTCTGGATAAGAGCGTCTGCTAAATGACTAAAATGTAAAGAGGAATTAATGAGTTAGAGAACGAAGAGATGCATCACCATTCTGGGCCGAAGTTAAGTGTTTCAGCAGTCATACTCCTCTCTTCAACTGGAGCTCAACGCTTCTGTTGGCACAACAAGGGCGACAGTTAAATCATGTCATGGCGCCACATAATCAACCAATCAAATATCCTCTTTGGGGAGTAATAAAATACTCTCTCATACCACACAGCTCAAACACCCATCAAACACTTGTACCCAATAACATACATCCCCCCAACATCCACATCTAGGACACAACAATATGCCAGGACAACTTTACAGAGTGAGTGGAGCTCTAACCTTGTCCAGAGGATTGAACCAGTTTGGTCCAGATACGATGAGGGGGTTAAAGGCTATTTGGTTCTTCTGTGTGCAGTGGTTTAGAGAGTGTACTTGGGCCAAACAAATATGTTACACTGAGCAAATAGCTGCCAGGCTCTGGGAAAGGGGTTAGGTGAGGTGACAGAGTGGCCAAATGTGACAGCAAGCTCACCAATCAACAAATGAAAACAAAAATGCAATGTTCATGGAGAAATAGCACCAGTAATTACATCAACATTGGAGTTGATCATAATAATGACCATGAAGCAAAATTGTGAAGAACAGGAGATCACAGGGAGAGGTGTTTCTTCTTCATGTGCATTTATTATTCTCTCCACTTCTGTCTTCTTACTGCTTGAATCTTTACATCGGGTCTATGTTTCTTCCTTTCCTCCAAACACCTGGGGAAACGAGATACAGCGAGATATTCAATTCAATTTTCACATACAAATAATATTTACCACATTCACAGACAGTTAAAGACTTCTTAAAGTTGTTATACCTGACGAGTGTTTTCACTTTAGTTGTGCATTGACAGTTCGTATATTTCGCCTAAGACGAAGGCCAGCTTCATTCCGGACCTCTGTTCTTAGCTAAACTATTCACAGCCGACTGTAGCAACTAGTTAACTGTGCCAACTGAACACTAACGTTAGCTAGCTACGTTCGCTAACTACCTAGCTAACTTTGCAATAACATAACATGTCATAACCAAGTGGTTGCGAGACAATACACAAACACGGTACAATTAAGTTAAAATAGAAATTAGCAAAGTTAAAATGTAATCAATGTAACTGTTTTATTTTCGATGAACCTCAAATGGCAAACAATTTGTAACTAGTAGTTGCTGAAGTCAGCTTGGCACATTGCACGAGTTAAGCTAACTAGCTATTTACACATTCGAACGAATCACTTCAGATAAATATGGGTGCGTGTTCATGAAGAAAACTTGAGTTTCATTTGAAGTTGAGCAAGAACATTGACCTAATTGAACCAGTTTGCTAAAACGAACCACCGTATTTGTAGCTAGCTAACTAACCTAGCTGAACAATGTACGTAAATAGCTAACGTTAGCTAGATGAGTAACCATGAAAAGCAGAGAGCAGCCCTTTACCCACTCGCAACGCGCAGGTTGCATCTCAACTTTAGGCCGCTGCTTTGGCCTGCACTTTTGCTAGCTAACATGGTTGCACAGTGCGCGGACAATGTTGCTAGCTTGCTAGTTTACTAGCTAGTTAGCTAACCATCTTGACACAATACAGCAGGAAAAAGGAGCAATATATTCATCTTAAGCAGTGCAATTTATTATATTGCAGTATAACACGTTTGCCAAAATAATTGTGCCAATTTCGACACTTACCTTTTGTTTAAAGCTGGTCGCACTAGCTAGCCAGCTAAGTAGCCAGCTAGCCAGCTACAACTTAGCTTGCTGGTAGTTGCAAATTTTGCGAAATTGAAATGTAGCTAGTTAAATCCTGTTTTTAACAACATATGCGTGTATTTCGCAATGACCTGTATATCTCCAGGTTACTTCCTTGCAACTATATGTTGAATATTTGCTTGAACCACGTTTGATTAATTATAATTTCCTCTGACCAACGTTCGCTGCGAATATTTTCATAGATCGCTTTCTCGTCTTGTTTGTGTTTTAGAAAAATGGCCGTCCTCCTTGCATTATTTGACAGCTGTGTTTTTTTTGTTTTGTTTTTTTCTTCTATTGAGAATTCAGGCGATGCCAAACTAGTAGTTGGTGCATTACCGCCACCTCTTGGGCTGGAGTGGGACAAATAGAATGAATGGTGAGCAATATACTGTTGTGCTAAGAATGTGCATCCAAAGAGAGATACCATGAGGGTCCACTCACTGTGATTCCTTGAGTACCACTGTTCTGCTTTCTCTTACTAATCCTCAGATCTCTATCAGCTCTCCACAGTGTCTGATTTTGGGGAGATGTAGCCCTTTCCTCAAGGCGACCTCCATTGCAGTTTTGAGGATGCTCAGGCGGTGCTGGAAGACTACTCCAACACGGTAAACTTTGAGAGTGGCCACCTGAACCCTGACGAGCAGCAGTCTGACCCCAACGACAAGGCAGCCACTTACACCCTGACCAACGTGGTGCCTCAGGTCCTGGAGTTCAACATCGGAAGACCCACGAGCACACCATCCGCCGCCGCCTCAACAACTACTGCCGCGGTACCGCCTTCGTGGTCACTGATGTCACCACCTTCGGGAACATGATCCGTCGCCACAACATAGACCGCGTGGCTGTCCCCATCTACTTGTGGTCGGCCTACTGCTGCATTGACTACGACCGCAACTCGCCCTTCAAGGAGCGCTCCAAGTTCCCAGCCTATGCGGCCCACGGTCTCAATGAGAAAGAGAGGCCTGAAGTGGTGGAGATGTCTGTTCAGCAGCTGGAGAACTTCCTCAAGAGTGTCACCTTTGTGGACAAGACCTTTCAGATCTTCTATGATAACTGTGTGCCCCCTGATAATGGCCTGCACATGTCTTGACACGATACTTAAAATAATGTGTAGCTTGATTTACTTGACCTGTAATGTAATGGGAATGGAGGTAAATCTGATGTGTTGTCTTTCATAAATGCTCGCGGTTTGCTTCATCCTTCATTTCATTTCTCTCTGGACACATATATCATGATCTCCTGCCTCATATATCGAATGTATAGCCTGCAAGATACAACACATTTTACACATAAATTAATGCAATCCAAGTAATGGTAATTTACAATCCGAGTTTGCATACTCATAAACCCTTTTATAAAGCTGTAAATCATAAACAAGTAAGCTTTAACTTGGCAGATTTATAAGCCCCATTTTCAAAGATTCCAGTTCTGAAAACATCTTATTTTTGTGTTGAGTAAAGACTGTCAACACATTTCTATTTTTAGTCTCTTTTTCTCTCATAGTGAGATGTGTGTATAGTTCGATATGAAATATGCACAATTCAAGACCAAAAACACATATCGCAACACTACTTATCTGATGAACATACCTGTATTGCACTCAGTCACTCAGTCACTCACACACACACACACACACACACACACACACACACACACACACACACACACACACACACACACACACACACACACACACACACACACACACACACACACACACACACACTCCTTTGTCTCTGATCAAACATTGGAAGTTCCTGTGTGCATTATCTGTCTGTGGTAATGTGCTAACCTACTATTACCACTGCCCTGCCACTGAAACTCACCTGATGCTGAAGGCCATTTGTTCTCCACGGAGATAGATTAGAGCAGGTTTTACATTTTACAGCAGAGCCTGCTCTAAGCGTAAGTGGAGGAGAGAAGAAAGACTGAGATGACAAGACAAAAGAGCATTAATGGCAGAAGGCTTTGCACAGGAGTGTTCCACACAGCTCAGTGTAATCGGTCCTCTCAGTACATTGCAGTGTTCCATGAGAGTGGTGTTATGATAGGTGATGGCCAATTCAAGGCCTGTCATGCTCTGATTAGACAATCCAAGGAATAGAATGAAAGGCAGCATTCAAGAACAGCAAAAAATTTGATATGCTGCCTAGACCGTGATATAATCCTATAGTCTATAGAGTACCACAGTATGTCATAATACCCATACAACTTAGCGGTCAAACACGGAAATGGTTCCAATAACTTTTCCACCATAACTTTTTCCCATAGGGGATTTTAGAAACACTTCAAATAAGGGCGGTGTTTCGTGTAGGCTTACACTTGCGTGATATTTTGATAGTCTTGTATATCACTCTCGGACAAGGTGATTTTTATCGATATATTTGCTTGTATTTACCCTCCCAAAATGAAATGCATTGGGCCAGTAACCAAAAGGTTGCTGGATCAAATCCCCGAGCTGACAAGGTAAAAATCTGTAGTTCCACCCCAGAGAAAGCGGTTAACCCATTGTTCCCTGGGCGCCGAAGACGTGGATGTCGATTAAGGCAGCCCTCCGCACCTCTCTGATTCAGAGGGGTTGGGTTAAATGTGAAAGACACATTTCAGTTGAATGCATTCAGTTCTACAACTGACTAGGTATCCCTATTTCCCTTAGGTGTCAGCTAGAGATGGCTTGCAGAGATGTGTAGTCTTGCATGATGTCTACTTTGATGATAATTAGAATCTGAGAGTAAATAGAGCCAAATATATTGATTAACGTCACCTTGTCCGAGAGAGATTTACACGGTTAACAAAACACCATACCAGGGAAAACCTACATGAAACACATACCTTGTTTGAAGTGGTTCTAAAATGCCCTATGGGAAAATGATAAGGGAAAAAATGATTGGAACCATTTCAGCGTTTGACCACTAGGTTTTATGGGTATTATGACATGTCCACAAGTGGCGGTCAATGCCATTTAAGATTTTTTTATGAGCATGGCCTTAATTCTACTACAGCATATTGGATGACTGTCATTCATATTCCATCCACCCAGTTCAATGTAACATTGATAGGTTTCGGCTACTACATGATACTCACATTTTCCCTATACCCATCATGAGGTTGCTACAACCTTTACAATGTAGGTGCACAGGTCAAGAGACATTTGAGTAATCAAGGTGAAAGACAGTGAGTGACACATTCAATACCGCCTTGCACACTCTTGCCAGTATCTAGCTGATCTAGATTGTAATCAATTAGTCCAATAGTTGCAAATGAGAGTTTCTGTTGGACAAATTCAGGTATGTTTATCCCCGTTTCGCTCCGTTTGCTTCCATTTAAGAACGTTTTTCAACAGAATCGGCGGAATGAATACACCCCTGATCACATGCAAACACATTTCACTTTCATAGCAGCTACATACAAACAGCATGATCACTTTGATCATTGTAGCTATATTTCCTTCTCGCATCTACATGCTCTCCTCCTCTCACCGTGTCCCTATGCCTGTGGATCTCAGTGCACAAAATATCAGCTGTCTGTGACCAGGCAAAAAAAAACTTTCCAAGCCAAACCTTTATATCATAATCGCTAACCACTACACACAGCCTATTATCTAACATCATAGTCAACATAGCTACTAGAACTAACGTGTTAGTAAACCCACTACAGTACAGTTACACCAAGCAGTTTAGCAGATACACCGGCGTGTCCATGTGGCAATAAATTACAGTGCCTCGCAAAAGTATTTATCCCCCTTGGCGTTTTTTCCTATTTTGTTGCATTCAACCTGTAATTTAAATGGATTTTTATTTGGATTTCATGTAATGGACATACACAAACTAGTGAAATGAAAAAAATTACTTGTTTAAAAAAATTCAAATAAATAAATAACGGAAAAGTGGTGCGTGCATATGTATTCACCCCCTTCGCTATGAAACCCCTAAATAAGATCTGGTGCAACCAATTACCTTCAGAAGTCACATAATTAGTTAAATAAAGTCCACCTGTGTGCAATCTAAGTGTCACATGGTCTCAGTATATATACACCTGTTCTGAAAGGCCCCAGAGGGGCCGCCCATGAAAACTCACGGACTAGACAAGGAGGGCATTAATCAGAGAGGCAACAAAGAGACCAAAGATAACCCTGAAGGAGCCGCAAAGCTCCACAGCGGAGATTGGAGTATCTGTCCATAGGACCACTTTAAGCTGTACACTCCACAGAGCTGGGCTTTACGGAAGAGTGGCCAGAAAAAAAGCCATTGCTTAAAGAAAAAAAAAGAAAAACACGTTTGGTGTTCGCCAAAAGCCATGTGGGAGACTCCCCAAGCATATGGAAGAAGGTACTCTGGTCAGATGAGACTAAAATTGAGCTTTTTGACCATCAAGAAAAACGCTATGTCTGGCGCAAACCCAACACCTCTCATCACCTGAGAACTCCATCCCCACAGTGAAGCATGGTGGTGGCAGCATCATGCTGTGGGGATGTTTTTCATTGGCAGGGACTGGGAAACTGCTCAGAATTGAAGGAATGATGGATGGCGCTAAATACAGGGAAATTCTTGAGGGAAACCTGTTTCAGTCTTCCAGAGATTTGAGACTGGGACGGAGGTTCACCTTCCAGCAGGACAATGACCCTAAGCATACTGCTAAAGCAACACTCGAGTGGTTTAAGGGGAAACATTTAAATGTCTTGGAATGGCCTAGTCAAAGCCCAGACCTCAATCTGTGGTATGACTTAAAGATTGCTGTACACCAGCGGAACCCATCCAACTTGAAGGAGCTGGAGCAGTTTTGCCTTGAAGAATGGGAAAAAATCCCAGTGGCTAGATGTGCCAAGCTTATAGAGACATACCCCAAGAGACTTGCAGCTGTAATTGCTGCAAAAGGTGGCTCTACAAAGTATTGACTTTGGGGGGGTGAATAGTTCGTTTTTTTTGTCTTATTACTTGTTTGTTTCATGATAAAAAATATTTTGCATCTTCAAAGTGGTAGGCATGTTGTGTAAATCAAACGATACAAATCCCAAAAAAATCCATTTTAATTCCAGGTTGTAAGGCAACAAAATAGGTAAAATGCCAAGGGGGGTGAATAGTTTCGCAAGCCACTGTAATAAAATCAAAAGCTTACCTTGACTTGGAAGAGTTCCAGTGTTGGATAGCCATAGCCAGCTAGCTAACATACAGTAGCATCCCTTTTCTGGTTGAGCGGGGATGTTTGAGTAGACTAAACTAAGTGAATAATAATGGAATACAGCTAGCTCTCTTTCCCTCTTTCTCTCTCTCTTTCTGTCTTGCTTCTCCTTCATTTTTGAAGAAATTAATTTGTTAAAAACTGTTCAACTATTGTCTTTCTCTCTCTTTGAGTCAACTACTCACCACATTTTATGCACTGCAGTGCTAACTAGCTGTAGCTTATGCTTTCATTACTAGATTCATTCTCTGATCCTTTGATTGGGTGCACATCATGTCAGTTCATGCTGCAGGATCTGATAGGTTCAAGGACGTCCTCCGGTAGTTGTCATAATTACTGTGTAAGTCTATGGAAGGGGGTGAAAACCATGAGCCTCCTAGGTTTTGTATTGAAGTCTACTCAGAGGAGCCTGGAAACTAGCTGTCCTTCGGTTACACCATAGTGTCACCCTACAGAGTGTTGTTGAGGCTACTGTAGACCTTCATTGCAAAACAGTGTGTTTTAAAAAAATACAAATAAATATTTTTATGAAATTCACTGAGGATGGTCCTCCCCTTCCTTCTCTGAGGAGCCTCCACTGGCTTCCACTCCCTAGTGAGTGTACTACCTCCTCTGCAAAGACAACACTGAGCTCACTAAGCTGGGACTGAACACCTCCCTCTGCAACTGGATTCTGGACTTCCTGACGGGCCGCCCCCAGATGGTGAGGGTAGGCAACAACACATCTGCCACGCTAACCCTCAACATGGGGGGCCATCAGTGGTGCATGCTTAGTCCCCTCCTGTACTCCCTGTTCACCTACAACTGTGTGGCCGTTCACAACTCCAACACCATCATTAAGTTTGCTGACGACACGATGGTGGTTGGCCTGATCACTGACGACGATGAGACAGCCTATAGGGAGGAGGTCAGTGACCTGGCAGTGTGGTGCCAGGACAACAACCTCTCCCTCAGCAAGACAAAGGAGCTGATCGTTCGACTACAGGAAACAGAGGGCCGAGCATGCCCCCATCCCCATCGACGGGGTTGTAGTGGAGTGAGTCAAGATCTTCAAGTTCCTCGGTGTCCATATCACTAAGGAATTATCATGGTCCTAGCACACCAACACAGTGGTGAAGAAGGCACGACAATGCCTCTTCTCCATCAGGAGGCTGAAAAGATTTGGCATGGGCCCTCAGATCTTTTAAAAGATATACAGCTGCACCATTAAGAGCATCTTGACTGGCTGCATCACCGCCTGGTATGGCAACTACTTGGCATCTGACCGCAAGGCATTACAGAGGGTAGTGCGTACGGCCCAGTACATCACTGGGGCCAAGTTCCTGCCATCCAGGATCTCTATGTCAGGTGGTGTCAGAGGAAGGCCCCAGCCACCCAAGTAATAGACTGTTCTCTCTGCTACCGCACGGCAAGCGGTACCGATGCAGCAAGTCTGGAACCAATAGGACCCTGAACAGCTTTCTACCCCCAAGCCATAAGCCTGCTAAATAGTTAGTTAAATAGTTAACCAATAGCTACACGGACTATCCACATTGACCCTTTTTGCATGAACTATTTTGACTCATCAAATACGCTGCTGCTACTGTTTATTATCTATCCTGTTGCCTAGTCACTTTATCCCTACCTATATGTACAGTACATACTGTATCTACCTCAATTACCTCGTACCCCTGCACATCTACTTGGTACTGGTACCCCGTGTATATAGCCAAGTTATCGTTACTCATTGTGGATTTATTCCTCTTTATTATTTTAATTTTATTTTTCTTTCTTTCTGGAAGGGCCCGTAAGTAAGCGATTCACTGTTAATCTACACCTGTTGTTTACGAAGCATGTGACAAATAAAATTAATTACAATTTGATTTGATTAGATTAGATTTAACAAGGTCTTTATGGCCTTTATGCTTGGTCAAATCCTACTCAGGTTGTTCCCCTTAAAGTTCCCCCTAAATTGCTAGATTGATGGTAGCAGTGGGGATAGTCTCTCAGGCTGACATTTATTACTGTGTCCTTGTCTACTTTGGGGTTTGTGCGTGGGTTGCTTCTCGATAGAGGTTAAAGTGACCTGGCCTCCTTGTATGTTAGGATACTACTGCTCTGTCACCACTTATGTTCTTATATTTTCAGCTGTAAAAGTTACAGTAAATACACGTAAGACTTTGCTGATTGGACAATAGAGAACAGGCCAACGCCTATTCTTGTTATTCGCTCACAACCCAAATTGATTGGATAGCAGATGCCTCTGTCACATTATTTTACTCACTTTGCATATCTGGTCTGTGGCATTTGAATTCTAACTCTACACCTTGTCTTTCATTTCGCTCTCCTGCAGTCGTTCTGGTAAGAGCCATGCAATTCTCTCCGGGCTGGTTGGTGTTGGTGTTCTCCCTGTTCCATAGTGCACCTAGAGCTCCGGCCACTGTGGTTGAGGACTTCAACCATGTAGAGCGATGCAAGGACTCCTTATACATGGGAACCCCACCACGGGGAATCATTGATGCCAAACTGAAGAAGATTTGTCAGCGCTATGCAGACAAGCCACGCTTCGTGACCCTATACGACCCTCAGAAACGAATCCCCGTCTACTCAGCCTACTCCTTCAAGAAGACCGAGGGAGACCGGCGTGTGGACTACCCCTGGATGTATGAGCCACAGGTCAGTCAAACACATTTTTGCTGTTGTTGTGAGTCTACTCCCCAAATGTTATGTTATACGTGTTTCCTATCTGAAAAGTATGGTAATTTTAAGTCCCTATTCTGCAGTGACAGGAGTTGAGATGTTATAGCTGTTAACTGATTTATCATAGCCCTTCATTGAACAGCATGTAGCTCCTTTCCCTTTTGTTCAGTCTCATCAGTGTTATCCATATTATAGCTATTTTGGCACATCGCTTACATTTGTTCCATTTAAATGGATACTTCATCCAAACAAAATTCCAATGTTGTATATGTTGTTTATTACTATGTAGTCTACAATCTGTGAGTGATGCACTGATCCTTCTCCCCTCTCTCTCCAGCTGGCAGATGTTGATGGCAATGGGAACATGCTACCCTTCCCTACCGGCTACCTGCACATGAAGTTTGAGGACAGCCAGGCAGTGCTGGACGACTACTCTGACGTGGTCCTGTATGAACGTGGCCACCTCAACCCAGACCAGCACCAGTCTGACCCCCATGACCGTGCCTCCACTTACACCCTGACCAACGTGGTGCCAGAGATCAGAGAGTTCAACATTGGGCCGTGGCGTGAGCACGAGGAGCGCGTCCGTGTCCGCCTCAACAACTACTGCCGCGGCACCGCCTTCATCGTCACAGGGGTGACCACTACAGGTCACATGATTCGCCGGAACAACCAGGACCGTGTGGCCATCCCTGAGGACGTGTGGACTGCCTACTGCTGCACCGACTACGACCGCAACGCCCCCCACGATGTCCGCATCCGCTTCCCCTCCCAGGCTGCCCTGGCCAAGAACGCCAAGGAGGGCAACAAAGTCAACGAGATAACTGTCCAGGACTTGGAGAACTTCCTGAAGACACGGATGGACGTGGACCAGAACCTGCAGCTCTTCTATGACAACTGCATCTCCCCATCTCCCCTCCCTCTGTACCTCCACCACACCATCTAAAATCTCCCCAGCAGCTACCACACACACCTACTCTGTGTGCTCAATGGTTTCCAACTATCTCCATAGCTCTACTATTATAGCATTTTGAATGTAATGTAATAAACACATTCGCTTTTTTGGCCTTGATATGAAATAGTATCTCAAATGCTCAGTGCACTAGTAGTTTTTATAATGATTAAGTATGATGTGCACTGGTAGTTTGTTAAAAGTTTTGTATTTGTAACAGAACATTCATAGCATTTGTCATGCTTTGGAAATGCTTTTATTATCTAAGATCTGCGTTTGCAAATGACTTCTGTTGTAGCGTAGGCTAATTGTCCCTCCAGATGACTTATGTTGTAAAGTAAACTAATTGTCCCTCCAAATGACTTCTGTTGTAGCGTAGGCTAATTGTCCCTCCATTCTCTGTATTTGTAGCACTCTTTTTAACTGCAATTGTCTTGGCCTCTATCTGTCCCCTTATAAAACAGCTCAGTGGCATTCACATACAATGGTTTAGTGTGTCAGCCATTCATGGAGAGGTGTTATCTGCTCATAGTTGTAAAGTGGTTGTAAAATGGATTATACCATCAAAAGTGGTAAAGAGTGTATCTTCTTTGAATAAAACAAATGAGTTCTCTGACTTCCAGGTGTCATGTTTTACTGTTTCAACCAGTCACACAGAATGCTACAGTATACCATTATGAACACATCTTTTCATACATGATTTTGGTTTACAGTCCCCATTTGCCAATCATAGTAGCTTTTATCATGGTTATTACTGGGTTATTATGTATAACCTGTTCAGGTAAGTGATAGTTAGCATTAGAGTACAGGAACATTATGTAGAGATACATAAGTTGCTGTTTGATCAAGTCATATGGTTTCCCTTTACTCTACGAACTAATCCAAAACCGCTGTTTCTGCAGAGAAGGTCCTGCACACTTTTAGGACATCGTTTTTTCCTTACCATGTGACCTGGCTCTAATTTATGCCTCATAATTAATTTACCTCTCAGATGACTCTAACTGACACATTAAAAGTCATCCTCCAAAATGTGCCCGTAGCTCAGCCCAACCAGCCGCTCAGAACATGTTGAGCTGTGTGGTCAGTAGACAAAGTGTTTGTGTGCATGGGCGAATATGAATGATGTCTGAGTGTATGCGGTATATATTTTTTAACATTAACTTTCTCGTAAACTAGAGCCACTCATATCTTCTATTACTTCTATTACTTGTTATTTTTTACTTGACTTGACTTTTATTCTTATTGATTAATGTACTGCACTGTTGAGGGAGCTAGCACAAAAGCATTTCGCTGCACCTTTTATACCTGCTGCAAACGGTGTATTTGACGAATACAATTTGATTTAATTTGATGATGAGAAAGGCCTCTCCATATTAGGCGACCTACAGTTCTCAGTGCCTTTGAACATGTGACTCGTGTAAGTTTCACCCACTGGATGTGGGAATGGCTAGAACTGGGAGCATCAGGGTTACAGGTGAGTCCCGGCCAATCGTATTACATTGCTTTGCATGAAAGTAATACTGTAACTCTGACAGACTGCTAAATGCTGATGAGACTGACAGACTGAAGAATCAGTGACAGAGGAGTGTGAAGGTATCAGAGCAGAGCTATTTCTTTAGAGCATGGGGTCTATATGGCGGCAGTCTTGGTATGCTGCTCTGAGTATGTTCCTGTGGGTGCCCTGGGGCTGGTGTGGCGTGGTGGAGGACTTTGACCATGTGGAGCGCTGTAAGGACTCTATGTACATGGGCAGCCCACCACGGGGCTACCTGGGGGGCAGCAACCTGAAGAAGATCTGCCAGCGCCTGGAGGACAAGCCCCGATTCGTCACCCTCTATGACCCCCACAGACACATGCCCCTCTACTCTGCCTATACCTTCAAACGGTCTGACGGGGAGAAGAGCATGGACCAGCCCTGGATGTATGAACCACAGGTGAGTTGAGGACAGAGGGAAGGGAAGGGAAGTTGATCATTGTAACAACTGTGTTTTTTTTCCCAGTGTGAGAATTCACATTTCTGTAACTACAATTATGTTCTCATATGAAGGAGTCTATTGTGGTCCTTTAGATATGGACTTGCACGATATTCAAAAACTAAAGCTCACTGTCTTGATCAGAGAATGTGTGAGCCTTTGTTTTTTGCATAACTCACTATCTTCCTTTAGTAATAGCATGAATTACCGTGATAAATATAGAGCTCTTTAATTTCACCTAATTACAAAAGTAGGTTATAATTTAAAAAATACCCAAATTAATGACCCCACTCTCTCTCTCTCTCTCTCTCTCTCTCTCTCTCTCTCTCTCTCTCTCTCTCTCTCTCTCTCTCTCTCTCTCTCTCTCTCTCTCTCTCTAGCTGGCCTCCAGTAAAGCCAGCAGTAATATGGAGGTCTTCCCCCAGTCGGCTCAGATGCACATGCGTCTCATGGACAGTCAGGCGGTGCTGGACGACTTTACAGATGTGGCCCAGTATGAGCGTGGCCAATTGAACCCAGACCAGCACCAGTCGGAGCCCCTGGACAAGGCAGCCACCTACACCCTGTCCAACGTGGTGCCTCAGATCAGAGAGTTCAAAACTGGCCCCTGGGCCCAGCACGAGGACCGCATCAGACAACGCCTCAACAACTACTGCCGCGGCAATGCCTATGTCATCACGGGAGTTACCTCGGCTGGGAACATGATCCGGCGAGACAACCAGGAACGTGTGGGCATCCCAGAGTACATGTGGACGGCCTACTGCTGTCCAGACTACGACCACAATGCCCCCTACCTAGAGCGCTACCGCTTCCCTGTGTTTGGGGCCTATGGTCTGAATGACAGGGTCAACAATGCTGTGGTGGAGGTGCCTATCAAGACCCTAGAGAAGTTTCTGAAGGGACGGATGGACGTGGACAAGAACTACCAGATCTTCGACAATGACTGTGTGCCTGATGACATGTTGCCATACTAGAACAGGTTTTGTCTATAGCTTTAATGGTGGCAGACATAAAAGCAAGGTTTTAGTATTGTGGGATCAAATGGTATATGATGCAAATGTATTTATTCATACATACACTAGAGGGAGCTTCTGTCAAACTTCTACGTTTACATTTTAGTTACTGGCCCAATGCTCTAAACCACTAGGCTACCTGCTATCCATTACTTCTGTGGTCAAACATTTATTTATAATTTTTTTTGGGCGGGGGGGTAAGAAACATGACCTGTATTTGGTCTACTTTGAAGCAACCTTTAACTGTCAAGAAATGCAAATAGACTGACACCACTATGTAACTTCATTTATTTTAGGAACCAGAACCAAGAAAGAGGACAGGAAGGGGTTTTAAATGCACCCCATTGGCAGCATTGACCGGACAAAAGACTTTTAGATGCTTGTCGTTTTTTTCGTTGCTAAAGCACAGCTGAGTGGTTCTTATTTGGTTGCTCTGTCCTTATTGGCAAATGCAATCTTTTTGGGTCTAATAAAATCCCTAAAGCTATATTAATAGGTCTGCAGGTCACCCCCAAACAATAAAAGGACATATAGCCAATTTTCAGGGGAGAGTGTGGTATGTTGAGCCATGTTTTACATTCAGCATCACTACATCAAGGGAAATATAGTATTATTTCTAACAAAGATATCTACATATATTTCAGGATGTTGGGTATCCCTGGAAATAATCAGAATTCATGTAAACATAACAGTTTTGAAAACATAGCGTGTCCAAAAAAAGTAGTCTCTTGGCACAACTTACCCCTGGTATGGGGTAGGCTGAGCATAGGGACAGGGTAAATTGAGCCACCTTGGGGTAAGTGGGTGATGGTGTCCTGTGATAGTGCGGGTAGGTCAAAGTTTAATTCATGGAATGGGGGTGTGGTATATTGTATATCTTAAATGTATGTGTCACACCCTGGCAGGGAGGGGCTGTGACTAAAATGGCTCAACTACCAGACTACGCCAGTTTCTGTTTAATAAAGGGGAACACCTCAACCAGTGAGATGCTGCATTCAAAACAACTGGGAACTCGTAACTCGGAAATCTCCGACTTCCGACTTCATTGCGTTCAAGACACCAGGGAACTCGCCAAAAATAATTGCTCTGACTGGGAAAATGTGTTTTGAACGGTCATCCAACTCGGAATTCCAAGACGGGATCTCAGGCCTCTTTCTAGAGCTCTGGCTTTCTGACCTGAAGATCACTGACGTCCTGATTCGACCTTGTTTTTTTCAGAGTTCCCAGTTGTCTTGAAAGCACCATAAGAAACACAGGTGTGTGACGACAGGCCACCTATTGGATTGGGTCATGAGCAATACAATGGACCAGGCAAAACTTTATCAACAATTACATTTTATTACAAAGATCTTTCAGTTACAACATTCAAAACCAATTGGCCATATTCTGTAAAAAATTTGCCAGTATAAATAACAACAGTCAATGATACATACCCTGATGATGATACATACCCCGCTTGGAGCAAGAACTACAAAATAAAAAACGATAGCGACAACCCTGAACGCAGGGCGAACTATGTTTAGGACAGATACCACTATGAGCTAGCTCCAACCAGAGCTCCGTAGTTCAGACCTTTGTAGTTTGGACGACAACTTGTATCTTGCACTCCAGCGCCACGGACGTACTCGACCCGAATACACAGGTGCACCACAGGTTATAAAGGAGGCAGAGGGTGTGAACTGCAATGAAAGAGAGAGTTGTTTAGGGGATGCTCCAATCACAGGAGGATAATTTAAAAAGTTAATAAAATTAAGCACAGCAAATCTCCAAGTCACAGCACACACACGCAATCAGCTATCAATTAAGGTCAATCATTGGTGAAAGCATGCATAGATCAGTGAAATTCAGTTAAATAGGAAAGCTAAAGTCCACTCTATGAGATACAGTTGAAGTTGAAGCCAAATACATTTAAACTCCTTTAAAATTCCCTGTTTTAGGTCAGTTAGGATCACCACTTTATTTGAAGAATGTGAAATGTCAGAATAATAGTAGAGAGAATGATTTATTTCAGCTTTTATTTCTTTCATCACATTCCCAGTGGGTCAGAAGTTTACATATACTCAATTAGTATTTGGTAGCATTGCCTTTAAATTGTTTTAACTTGGGTCAAACATTTTGGGTAGCCTTCCACAAGCTTCCCACAATAAGTTGGGTGATTTTTGGCCCATTCCTCCTGACAGAGCTGGAGTAACTGAGTCAGGTTTGTAGGCCTCCATGCTCGCACACGCTTTTCCAGTTCTGCACACACATTTTCTATAGGATTGAGGTCAGGGCTTTGTGATGGCCACTCCAATCCCTTGACTTTGTTGTCCTTAAGCCATTTTGCCACAACTTTGGAAGTATGCTTGTGGTCATTGTCCATTTGGAAGACCTATTTGCGACCAAACTTTAACTTCCTGACTGATGTCTTCAATATATCCACATAATTTTCCTTCCTCATGATGCCATCTATTTTGTGAAGTGCACCAGTCCCTCCTGCAGCAAAGCACCCCCACAGCATGATGCTGCCACCCCCGTTCTTCACGGTTGGGATGGTGTTCTTCGGCTTGCAAGCCACCCCCTTTTTCATCAAAACATAACGATGGTCATTATGGCCAAACAGTTCTATTTTTGTTTCATCAGACCAGAGGACATTTATCCAAAAGTATGATCTTTGTCCCCATGTGCAGTTGCAAACCGTAGTCTGGCTTTTTTATGGCGGTTTTGGAGCAGTGGCTTCTTCCTTGCTGAGTGGCCTTTCAGGTTATGTCGATATAGGACTCGTTTTACTGTGGATATAGATACTTTTGTACCTGTTTCCTGCAGCATCTTCACAAGGTCTTTTGCTGTTGTTCTGGGATTGATTTGCACTTTTCGCACCATCTCTAGGAGACAGAATGCGTCTGCTTCCTGAGCGGTATGACGGCTGCGTGGTCCCATGGTGTTTCTACTTGCGAACGATTGTTTGTACAGATGAACGTAGTACCTTCAGGCGTTTGGAAATTGCTCCCAAGGATGAACCAGACTTGTGGACGTCTACAGTTTGGATGATTTCTTTTGATTTTCCCATGATGTCAAGCAAAGAGGCACTGAGTTTGAAGGTAGGCCTTGAAATACAGCAACAGGTACACCTCCAATTGACTCAAGTGATGACAATTAGCCTATCAGAAGCGTCTAAAGCCATGACATCATTTTCTGGAATTTTCCAAGCTGTTTAAAGGCACAGTCAACTTAGTGTATGTAAACTTCTGACCCACTGGAATTGTGATACAGTGAATTATAAGTGAAATAATCTGTCTGTAAACAATTGTTGGAAAAATTACTTCTCTCATGCACAAAGTAGATGTCCCAACCGACTTGCCAAAACTATAGTTTGTTAAAAAGAAATGTGTGGAGTGGTTGAAAAACAAGTTTTAATGACTCCAACCTAAGTGTATGTAAACTTCCGACTTCAACTGTATGCCTACATTCAGAAATAAATATCTCTGTTCAATATCACTTACTCTTCCATTTCTTGACCAATTGTCTGGGACAGGGATGTTGTTTTGATGTGTCAATTCGTAGGCAAGTTCTCTGCATTTGAAGCTACTAAGCCAATGAATCTGGTCCATGAGATTCTTCATATGTTTAGCAAGTTCAGACTCCATGTCATCAGATGAGGTCTTTTTGCCTTTGGTACACTATCATAGCCTCTCTTTCTCACAGGTACATGATCCTTTTCTTTTTTGTCAATGTACCTCTTCAGTGTCATTCAGTCCATTTATTCATCCCTTGCTGCTGCTCCAATGGACTTCCTTCCCGTCTCTCACTTTCTTGTCAGCTCTCTCAAGAACCTCAATGGGGGCTAGACCCCTGCTTGTTTTACATTGTATACACAGGGCATGATGATGTCTGCTCTTTAACAATAAAAATGCACTCATCTTGAGTTCATATGCTTGACACATTGCAAAAATACAATGCATATTATAATTAACTGACTAAATGTAATCATAATTTGTATGGGGTATGGTGACCATTGGCTCAACTTACCCAATGGCATTTGACTCAACTTACCCCAAAGCAAACATTTTGACTATATTACCCCACACAGCTACAATAATGCACTTTCAAGCTAGGTTTAAAACCTCATATTGTAGCTCATAGAGACCCCAACTGATGTACAAAACAATCTTAAAACGATCTACTTTGGTTTAGATACAAGCATCATGAAACCTATAACACAAATTCATTAGATTTTGGGAAAATCTGTTTTTTTGGACCTAACTTGTTACTACTTTATCCATGTGGTTTCTTCCTTCACATACTCTTAAATATTTGGTCACATGATACATTTTGTGTATGGTTTCCAGTAGTGGAAAAAGTACCCAATTGTCATACTCGAGTAAAAGTAAACATACCTTAATGGAAAATGTTTATATATACTTAAGTATCAAAAGTAAATGTAATTTATATACATAGACTCCATAGGCCTATCTGTGCTAAATTACTTTCCACACAAATAAAACAACAGAGAAAATAACTTTATGCACCATAATCAATTAGGCATTTTAATCAATGTTCATTCAAAGCATATGGCAACCATTGCAAATCTAAATATGGCATTTCCCCATTCTTATATCATTTACAAAAGACTAGAAACTATATCACAAAAACGTTTATGATGTCATCAGGTGGGCGAGTCAACGGGGGCGCTGTGGGGATCCGGATGGCGGTAGGTTACCGGGTACATCAATGCCATCCATTCTCCTCATTTAGAACAGACCGCTGAAGAATGACAGCCTGTACTTGTATGTTCAGCATACAGGTGGTAAGATAAATCAATAAGTGCATGGCAGTTTGCCAAAACACGACACAGTTAACCTGGAATGAAAATGCCGCCCCCGGAGAGACCATCTAGCTTTCGTCTCTGGTGCGCACGGGACATTCCATTGCGCTCTGAACAAGAGACAAGGACACAAGTGAAGAAAGCCTATTTCGAGCTAATTTCATATAGTGTAGGCCTAAAAACTAGACAATTCGGCGACGGAAGTGTTTTTTTTACGGAGTATATTGCACATGTACTTTGTTTAGCAGTGCATTCTAAAAATGTTGGACCATTTTGCGAATGTCTTCCATTTCGGGTAAGATATATATTGCACACCATTGAAATATGTTTTATTTGATAACAATACTGTTTTTGTGATAGAAAGTAATACTGAAGCAAACATGTTAAGGAGGTTAGATCTATCCATATCAGAACGAACAATGTCAGAGCCCTGAACACAAATATAATAGGGTGTATAGACAGTATGGACAGTATATGAATAGAAAAGGTGTGTACAGCAGTCACTCCAATATTTGTAGGACAACCAGGATAATCCAATGAGTCCTTGCATTAGAAAGCAAAATAGAAACCACTTGACCTCAATTTCTGCACTAGATTTACCAACAAGGGTTCATAGCCTAAATTGGCATATACTAGGCCTATATACCTCTATACAAATCCATGACATACAGTAAGGTATCATTATGTTCTGAAACAATGTATTACAGTAAGAGTGGCAAGCACAATAACCTCATGATTATTTATCTGACATTGTGTTTATGTGTTCTTCTAGGGGTTAGATAGACCACAAACCTATCTGCAGTTATTGGTCAATAAATCTGGGAAAGTGAACCTGGGAGTTAGTTGTCATAGGGGGTTGATGTCCCTTCTGTGTAAATACTCCTGCAGAAGTAAATCAGAATTATATTTTATTACCCACCTCATGTTTAACCCACCAATGAGTTGTCCCAGTCCAAACAGTCCCAACAGTCAGTTATTGTACATCATTTACAGTATATCTGCTCCAGTGATCCTCTATTCTCTGGAACACGGTTGACATAACTGCCTGTTATGTGATTGTCGGATTTGCTGCCAGTCTGTGACTGCTCTCAGCCACCATTTCTAGCATTAGCCTGATGATGTGTATTGTCGTTGTCGTCGTCCCACCCCCCCCCCCCTCAGTGGTGGTACTACTGCTGATAGTACTCCAGTGGGCAGGACGAGGCCTCCCTTCTTCTGTTAGGCCCATCTGTGACCCCCGCGTTCTGGACCGCTTCATCATGGAGGCCCGCGACACAGAGACAGCTCTGGTGAGACACTGACTGAAGCCAAACCATCACTAGATGGACCTGAGCTACTTTTACATGTTTGAAAAATGTCACATTAGAAGACAGATTATGATATTATTAGAGTCTATTATGTACAGAGACAATTCCGTTTTATTAGTGTGTTTGATCTGTTGGTGTGTCTCATCTTGCCCTAACTCTGTCAATATGTCTGGCCTTACTTCCCTCTCACAGCGAGGTTGCAAGGCAGGGTGTGGAGTGACAGGCACGTTTGTGGTTCCTCTGACAAATGTTGACTTTGTAGTCTGGGAGAAAAAGGATGTGAGTACCTGTCTGTCAGTTCAATACCTGGGTTGTTCCACGAAATGAGTGAAATATGTTAAGTAGAAATTGTGCACCAATATTGAATTTGAAAAGCCTGTTATTTTAAATGAAGTGCCCTTTAATACAGACCACATGGATAATTCAATAAATCAGATTCCTAAATGAATAAAGACTTGTTAAAGTGCCAAAATTCAGCAAGAACGCTAAGGTAACCTGTCTAAATGACTATTGCCCTGTAGCACTCACATCTGTAGCCATGAAATGCTTTGAAAGGCTGGCTCACATCCACACCATCATCCCGACATCCTTGACCCACTCCAATTCGCATAACGCCCCAACAGATCCACAGATGATGTAATCTCTATTGCACTCCACACTGCCCTTTCCTACTTGGACCAAAGGAACACCTATGTGAAAATGCTGTTAATTGACTACAGCTCAGCGTTCAACACCATAGTGCCCTCCAAGCTCATCACACACCTCCCTCTGCAACTGGAACCTGGACTTCCTGATGGGATGCCCCCATGTGGTGAGGGTAGGCAACAACACATCTGCCACGCTGACCCTCAACACGGGAGCCCCTCAGGGGTGTGTGCTTAGTCCCCTCCTGTACTCCCTGTTCACCTGCTTGGCCGCGCACGACTCAAACACCATCATTAAGTTTTCTGACAAAACGATGGTGGTAGGCCTGATCACAAACGACAATGAGGCAGCCTATAGGGAGGAGGTCAGAGACCTGGCAGTATGGTACCAGGACAAGAACCTCTCCCTTAACCTCATCTAGACAAAGGAGCTGATCATGGACTACAGGAAATGAAGGGCCGAGCACGCCCCCATTCACATCGACAAGGCTGTAGTGGACCGGGTCGAGAGCTTCAAGTTCCTTGGTGTCCAGATCACTAAGGATCTATCATGGTCCAAACACACCAACACAGTGGTGAAGAGGGCTCGACAATGCCTCTTCCCCATCAGGAGGCTAAAAAGATTTGGCATGGGCCCTCAGATCCTCAAAAAGTTATACAGCTGCACCCTTGAGAGCATCTTGATTGGCTGCTTCACCGCTTGGTATGGCAACTGCTCAGCAGCGATCGTAAGGCGCTACAGAGGGTAGTGCGGACGGCCCAGTACATCACTGGGGCCGTACCCCTGCCATCCAGGACTTCTATACCAGGCGGTGACAGAGGAAGGCCCTAAAAATTGTCAAAGATTCCAGCCACCCAAGTCATAGACTGTTCTCTCTGCTACCACACTGCAAATGGGACCGATGCACCAAGTCTGGAACCAACAGGACCCTGAACAGCTTCTATCCCCAAGCCATAAGACTGCTAAATAATTGGTTAAATAGTTAACCAAATAGCTACCTGGACTATCTACATTGACCCTTTTTGCACTAACTTTTTTGACTCATCACATATGCCGCTGCTACTGTTTACTATCTGTCACTTTATTTCTAAGAGTGTGTTGTGTCGAGAAAACGTTGCTAATCATGCTGTGAGACCAAGGAAATCCGCTGACGCTGTACTTCGATCATAAAGATGTATTTATATCAAAGGGTTACAGCTTCAATTTACAGATACCTGCCGGCATCTGGAGAACAGCCAACCCAAATTCTAAATATGCTATTCTGACCTCCTTTGTCTTCAACAAGTATTTATCCTATGTAATCTGATATGGGTGTTTCCCCTACAGACCAATCCCAGGAGGTCACCTAACAGACTTCCTCTGCTTTAGTGTACTCCTATAGAACTGCTCTTCAGATGTCTCCCTGGGCCAAATCAACATTCTCTAAGCTACCATTTGCAAACATTAACAAAGTCATAATTCCTCAGATACTACAAGTGTGCAAAGCTGTCATCAAGGCAAAGGGTGGCTATTTGAAGAATCTCAAATATAAAATATATTTTGATTTGTTTAACACTTTTTTGGTTACTACATGATTCCATATTTGTTATTTCATAGTTTTGATGTCTTCACTATTATTCTACAATGTAGAAAATAGTAAAAATATAGAAAAACCCTTGAATGAGTAGGTGTTCTAAAACCGGTAGTGTATATGTACAGTACATATCTACCTCAATTACCTCAAACCCATGCACATCATCTCGGTACTGGTACCCTTTGTATATTGCCAAGTTATCGTTATTAATTGTGCAACAATTATGACTTTTATTATTACGTGTTTTACTTTTCTATTATTTCTCTATTTTCTTTTGCTGTAAGTCCACACCTATTGTTTACGAAGCATGTGACTTTACAATTTGATTTGATTTGAACTTACATTGAGTCCATTGAGTTCACTGAGCTCTGCCTGCCAATAAATGTATTTCTGTACAGTGTACCCATTAATACTGGAGTACATTCACCCTAATGTGAATGCGTCTTTAGCTGTATAATGATTATGTATAATGACATTCTGTGAGTTTTGTTTTAGCATATACATTTATGTAATGTGTGTATGTAATGTGTACTATGTGTGTGTATTCCCAGACTGGGCTGCAGGCTCTGGAGGTCCAGTCAGGGCTGTCTCTGTTTGGCCAGGCCCTGGGTGCTGTGAGGGAGTCAGTGAGCCGTGCTGCCGTGCAGATCCTCATTGACAACAACAAGAGCAACATCCACAGCCTGGGCCAGGTGCTGCGCAGCCTCCACATCCAGGTGACTCACTGAGGAGTGTGAGTGTCTCGTCTACAGCATGGCCAGTGGATGGGACTGTGGTGTGAACAGTTTGTTATGTAGGGCCAGGAGAGTTCCTGGTCTGATCACATGGTAAAGAAAACCTCCTTGCCCCAATAGGCCCAGAGTTATTCCTGATCACATGACCTGACCAGGAAAAACTCCTATCCCACTTATCAGATATGTTTGTGTGTCAGTTTATTTTCTACCGTATGTGTGAGTCAGTTTGTACGTACTATACTGTACTGGACTTCCCCGGCAGACAGCCTCGTTGGGAATAGATATGTGTTCTTGGAAAGGTCATGGACCATAGGCTGGTGAGGGGAGGATGTCTCATAATAATGCCTGGAATGGAGTGAATGGAATGGTATCCAACACATGTGTTGGATACCGTTCCATTTATTTCCATTCCAGCCATTTCTATGAGCCCGTCCTCCCTAATTAAGGTGCCATCAGCCGCCTGTGATGGGTATAGTCAGTCAGACGTTCCCCTGCCCTCTCTGCCCTCTCCCCTCAGTGTGCCAACGCCTACCTGCCGCGCTTTGTTTGCTTCTCTGTCAGAGGCGCCACTCTTCTCAGAAACCTGTGCCTTTTCAGGGTAGGGCAGTTCAGTGACTGAGATGGCATTGAGCAGGCCGGGCATGGCAGTGGAAGTTAGTGGAAAGGCGTCAGAATTGGGGTTCTATTGGGCTGCATACCATTTGGTTTGGAGTAGCAGGCCAGGAAGATCCTGGAATAGACCCGCTTCCACAGAACAGATGAGTGGTGCTTTCTTTTCAGGGTTGTATGCTAAACCTTGTTCTTCCTCCCATCCATTGAACAGGACTTGTCCCTTCCTCGTTGGGAATAGATAGGTGTTCTTGGAAAGGTCATGGACCATAGGCTGGTGAGGGGAGGATGTCTCATAATAATGCCTGGAATGGAGTGAATTGAATGGTATCCAACACATGTGTTGGATACCGTTCCATTTATTTCCATTCCAGCCATTTCTATGAGCCCGTCCTCCCTAATTAAGGTGCCATCAGCCGCCTGTGATGGGTATAGTCAGTCAGACGTTCCCCTGCCCTCTCTGCCCTCTCCCCTCAGTGTGCCAACGCCTACCTGCCGCACTTTGTTTGCTCCTCTGTCAGAGGCGCCACTCTTCTCAGAAACCTGTGCCTTTTCAGGGTAGGGCAGTTCAGTGACTGAGATGGCATTGAGCAGGCCGGGCATGGCAGTGGAAGTTAGTGGAAAGGCGTCAGAATTGGGGTTCTATTGGGCTGCATACCATTTGGTTTGGAGTAGCAGGCCAGGAAGATCCTGGAATAGACCCGCTTCCACAGAACAGATGAGTGGTGCTTTCTTTTCAGGGTTGTATGGTAAACCTTGTTCTTCCTCCCATCCATTGAACAGGACTTGTCCCTTCCTCCAGCACCAGCAGTAGGTGACTCAGTGACTAGGAAGGTGTCATCACTATCTGAGCTGCTCCGTGTCCACACCAACTTCCTACGAGGGAAGGTTCGCCTGCTGCTCACCAACGCACCTGCCTGTCAACAGAACAGCACTTGATTGGAGCTTTCCTCAAAGGCAGAGGCTGTGATTGGACCATTGTTTAGAGAGAGAACGAGGTCATTGGACTTTTGCTGAAATCTCTGAATGGCTTCCAAGTATGTAATGTGTAGACAAGGTGATTGCTGACCAGACAAAAACTGGTGGAAAAGTCAGTTCCCTGTGGGTGGAGTTGATGAGAACAATGAGTAAGAGAGAAAAACCTGAGCTCATTGACCTCATCGGTTCCTAGTACTACCTAGCAGTACCACCAAAGAGCTCTGATGCATGCAGCGGAATAAGCTACAGACAGTACAGATCATATGAGAAGATCATATATAAAGTCCTAAATCTATTTATACATTTTGCCTTAAACTTGTCTTAAACTTGTTTTTATATAAATCTCTATTTTCATATATGAGTGTGTCCCTTTGAGTCTTTGAACCATAGATGCTCAGGTTTAACATACTGTAGTTTGTGTGTTCATGTAATATGCTTGCTCAGTGCTTTTATAATTCAGACCACAGGTACACTTTGCTGCAAGACAATGTATTGATCACTTCTCACTGTGCGCTCTCTGCACTCTGTCTGTCTGTGCCCCTCCCTCCCTCCCTCCCTCCCTCCCTCCCTCCCTCCCTCCCTCCCTCCCTCCCTCCCTCCCTCCCTCCCTCCCTCCCTCCCTCCCTCCCTCCCTCAATGCCCCCTCTCTCTCCCTTTCTCTGGCTCACCCTGTCTTTGGGGTCAGAGCAGACATTGTATTTCACCACCAGGCAGCACATACAGCTCTCCGGCCTAGCAGACAGAGAATTGAGGATGAGAATGAGTTCAGTTCCTGGAGGTTCTGGACTCTGTTGCCCTCTGCTGGATAGACCGTGACATCACTGCCCTACTTAGGCCCCGCTTACATTTACATTTACGTAATTTAGCAGACGCTCTTATCCAAATTGGTGCATTCACCTTATAGCCAGTGGGATAACCACTTTACAATGGGTTTTTTTTTTTTGGGGGGGGGGGGGGGGGGGGGGGGGGGGGGGGTAAGGGGGGGTAGAAGGATTACTTTATCCTATCCCAGGTATTCCTTAAAGAGGTGGGGTTTCAAGTGTCTCCGGAAGGTGGTGAGTGACTCCTGGCATCGCTGTCCTGGCATCGTGAGGGAGCTTGTTCCACCATTGGGGTTCCAGAGCAGCGAACAGTTTTGACTGGGCTGAGCGGGAACTGTGCTTCTGCAGAGGTAGGGGGGCCAGCAGGCCAGAGGTGGATGAACGCAATGCCCTCGTTTGGGTATAGGGACTGATCAGAGCCTGAAGGTACGGAGGTGCCGTTCCCCTCACAGCTCCGTAGGCAAGCACCATGGTCTTGTAGCAGATGCGAGCTTCAACTGGAAGCCAGTGGAGTGTGCGGAGGAGTGGAGTGACGTGAGAGAACTTGGGAAGGTTGAACACCAGATGGGCTGCGGCATTCTGGATGAGTTAAGGGTTTTAATGGCACAGGCAGGGAGCCCAGCCAACAGCGAGTTGCAGTAATCCAGACAGGAGATGACAAGTGCCTGGATTAGGACCTGTGCCGCTTCCTGTGTAAGGCAGGGTCGTACTCTCCGAATGTTGTAGAGCATGAACCTACAGGATCGGGTCACCGCCTTGATGTTAGCGGAGAACGACAGGGTGTTGTCCAGGGTCACGCCAAGGCTCTTCGCACTCTGGGAGGAGGACACAACGGAGTTGTCAACCGTGATGGCGAGATCATGGAACGGGCAGTCGTTCCCCGGGAGGAAGAGCAGCTCCGTCTTGCCAAGGTTCAGCTTGAGGTGGTGATCCGTCATCCACACTGATATGTCTGCCAGACATGCAGAGATGCGATTCGACACCTGGTTATCAGAAGGGGGAAAGGAGAAGATTAGTTGTGTGTCGTCTGCGTAGCAATGATAGGAGAGGCCATGTGAGGATATGACAGAGCCAAGTGACTTGGTGTATAGCGAGAATAGGAGAGGGCCTAGAACTGAGCCCTGGGGGACACCAGTGGTGAGAGCACGTGGTGCAGTGACAGCTTCTCGCCACGCCACTTGGTAGGAGCGACCGGTCAGGTAGGATGCAATCCAAGAGTGAGCCGCGCCGGAGATGCCCAGCAGACAGGTCTAGAAGGACAAGAGCAGAAGAGAGAGAGTTAGCTTTAGCAGTGCGGAGAGCCTCCGTGACACAGAGAAGAGCAGTCTCAGTTGAATGACCAGTCTTGAAACCTGACTGGTTTGGATCAAGAAGGTTATTCTGAGAGAGATAGCAAGAGAGTTGGCTAAAGATGGCACGCTCAAGAGTTTTGGAGAGAAAAGAAAGAAGGGATACTGGTCTGTAGTTGTTGACATCAGAGGGATCGAGTGTTGGTTTTTTGAGAAGGGGTGCAACTCTCGCTATCTTGAAGATGGAAGGGACATAGCCAGCGGTCAAGGATGAGTTGATGAGCGAGGTGAGGTAAGGGAGAAGGTCACCGGAGATGGTCTGGAGAAGAGAGGAGGGGATAGGGTCAAGCGGGCAGGTTGTTGGGCGGCCGGCCGTCACAAGTCGCAAGTTTTTATCTGGAGAGAGAGGGGAGAAAGAAGTCAAAGCATAGGGTAGGGCAGTCTGAGCAGGACCAGCAGTGTCATTTGACTTAACAAACGAGGATCGGATGTCGTCAACCTTCTTTTCAAAATGGTTGACGAAGTCATCCACAGAGAGGGAGGAGGAGGGAGAGGGAGGAGGATTCAGCAGGGAGGAGAAGGTGGCAAAGAGCTTCCTAGGGTTAGAGGCAGATGCTTGGAATTTAGAGTGGTAGAAAGTGGCTTTAGCAGCAGAAACAGATGAAGAAAATGTAGAGAGGAGGGAGTGAAAAGATGCCAGGTCCGCAGGGAGTCTAGTTTTCCTCCACTTCCGCTCGGCTGCCCGGAGCCCTGTTCTGTGAGCTCGCAATGAGTCATCAAGCCACAGAGCTGGAGGGGAAGACCTAGCCGGCCGGGAGGATAGGGGACATAGAGAGTCAAAGGATGCAGAAAGGGAGGAGAGGAGGGTTGAGCAGGCAGAATCAGGAGATTGGAGGGAGAAGGTTTGAGCAGAGGGAAGAGATGATAGGATGGAAGAGGAAAGAGTAGCGGGAGAGAGAGAGCGAAGGTTGCGACGGCGCATTACCATCTGAGTAGGGGCAGAGTGAGTAGTGTTGGAGGAGAGCGAGAGAGAAAAGGATACAAAGTAGTGGTCGGAGACATGGAGGGGAGTTGCAGTGAGATTAGTAGAAGAACAGCATCTGGTAAAGATGAGGTCAAGCGTATTGCCTGCCTTGTGAGTAGGGGGGGGACGGTGAGAGGATGAGGTTAAAAGAGGAGAGGAGTGGAAAGAAAGGCAGAGAGAAATGAGTCAAAGGTAGACGTAGGGAGGTTGAAGTCCCCCAGAACTGTGAGGGGTGAGCCATCCTCAGAAAATGACCTTATCAAGGCGTCAAGCTCATTGATGAACTCTCCAAGGGAACCTGGAGGGCGATAAATGACAAGGATGTTAAGCTTAAATGGGCTAGTGACTGTGACAGCATGGAATTCAAATGAGGAGATAGACAGATGGGTCAGGGGAAAAATAGAGAATGTCCACTTGGGAGAGATGAGGATTCCTGTGCCACCACCCCGCTGACCAGATGCTCTCGGGTATGCGAGAACACATGGTCAGACGAGGAGAGAGCAGTAGGAGTAGCAGTGTTTTCAGTGGTAATCCATGTTTCCGTCAGCGCCAAGAAGTCGAGGGACTGGAGGGTAGCATAGGCTGAGATTAACTCTGCCTTGTTGGCAGCAGAACGGCAGTTCCAGAGGCTGCCTGAGACTTGGAACTCCACGTGGGTGGTGCGTGCAGGGACCACCAGGTTAGAGAGTCAGCAGCCACGTGGTGTGAGGCGTTTGTATAGCCTGTGCGGAGAGGAGAGAACAGGGATAGACAGAGGCATAGTTGACAGGCTACAGAAAATGGCTACAATAATGCAAAGGAGATCGGAATGAAATGAACTAAACATCTGGGAAAGGAGAGAGCGGGGCCTCCCTCACCACAGCACCCAAATATAACTCTCCCAACTTCCACCTCAGAAACTATAATTGTTGTAAACTACAGCGGTTCAATGTTTTCTAGGAATAGACTAACTTAGTTTATTCAGCTAGCTAACTTGGTACAGTATTCTTCCGTGAAAATCGTCCAGGGCACCTAGTCATAAGACGCCACAGCCAGCTAGCACGCCGGACTCCAACAACACGGTTTAGCACCAATACTCGGCCACAACAAACCACCAGTGTGTCAACACGCCAAGCAGATCATTCGTGTCCGTGTCTAACGTTGTGGGTTAGTCCCGACAGCTTGAGCGAGTCCGTCGTCAACTTATTCAGCCAGTTAGTTAGCTAGAATAGTTAGCATACTAGCTAGCCATTGCTTTCAGACAAAGAAGAAACCCCTCCTTTCACTGCACGAACACACAGAGAGAGCCAAGCTAACGTTAACTAGTCACCCATGTCCCGAATTCCCTTGAACGACTCTGGCTACCAATATGTAAAAACAAAACACAAATGTAGGTTATAACTTACCCCTAGCAGCTACTGTTAGCTAGCCAAGTGCAAAACTAGCCACTGAATTGACTCAGCCAGTTCGCGTCTGTTCGCTAGGTTGTTCCAGCTATTGTTTACTAGTAGCTATCCAGGTAAGCTTCAGACAATGAGGTTAGAAAACAGCTGAATGGTAGGCATTATTGTATGTAATTATTGTAGGCAGCCAGCTGGCGTAATTACAGGCACTCTCAGGCGTGAAACAACTATCCACCGTTGCTAATAGTTGCCAGTAGCTACCCGCTAGCTAGTCCAGGTAGTGGGTTAGATAGCTAGCTTCGTGCTTCACCGGGCTCAGCCGAATACAATACTAACCTACAATAATTACATACAACAACCCACGATAACTACCTACAATACCTAACTACAATCTAAATACACAGTTTAAGCTTTACTCGACAAAGCCCAAACTATGTATAAAGCCAAGCTTACCTCCCGCCAGAGAGAGACACAACCTCACCCGACGACCTCCTGCTGCTAGCATATTAAGCTTACACAAAGAACAGCTCTATGGCTATAAAAAGAAAAAGACATCATCATGAAATCATCTCATATTTGTGCATATAGACCTAATTTTCACCATAAACAAAAAACACACAAAAGAACACTAACCAAAGAACGTCAACAAGGTCAACATTGGTAATTATTAATCAGATCAGCAACCACTCACAGATTAGCGATTTAAATAATTAGATGTTGTGTGTTCATAGACAATAACAGGGAGGCAAATGTGATAATTTGTTTAAGAATGTATTTTTAATGTTCTCCAGTTCAGGTACACAACATACAGTCTGTAATAGTCTCTATATGAAATAGAAATATTAACTTCATTCTGTAAACCCGTTCGTTATGCTTCCTTACAGTGTCTCAATCCTCCAGTAGGTGCTGATTTCAGACTAAATGAAAACAGAGACAAACAGGTGCAAACTTTTTGGGGCAACCCAGCGCGAACCTTGGAAAGGTAGAGATTTGCATCCTTGTAATGTTTCTTTGTAACATTGAGCCAACATCAGACTTTAGTGTCACTGTGTAAACTTGGTGAGAGTGTGCTTCCAGAGTCTGTTGGCTGTCATATTCCTGGTTTCCAAATTTCAGTCATATTTTTCTTTCTTTTAGAAAAATACTGTATTTTTTTACTTTTTCTTTTTGGAAACATTAGCATCTCAAATGGACAGCAAACAGGTGAGCTGTTATTCCCAGAAAATGACTTAAACGGAGAGTGTGCATGGCAGACGTAAGAGTAAAGGATAGCAAAGCAACCACAACCATCAGAGTCTGAAACAAGACTAACGAGTACAAAGGAGTTGACAACATACTGTACCTGTTCTAAGCTATGGGTAATACTGTATGTCATATCTCAGGACAGTGAGTGTCGCTAACAAGTACCAACAGCACCACCATCAAGATTCAAGTTTCCTAGTTCTGTAGGTTTGGATTGAGCACAGTTTCAAACCATGGCTTTATCTCTACCACTCTATCACTGCCTTCCTCTTTCCTTCCTTCTGTCTCTCTCTCTTGATCTCTCTCCCATTTTATTTTTCTCTGTATCCCTATTCTGTCTCAATCTGCTATCTATACAGTAATGGCCACTTAATGGATGCAAAGGGATCATCTTAAATTAATTGCCATTCCAGACAAAATCTGTCTTCATGATTGATGTAGTAATTGACAAATGTGCAAGTAATGCCCACCTCCACCGAGAACCCCACACACATCCAGTATGTCCGTTCTACCCTAGAGAAACCTGAGCCATATCCTCTTCCCTACCTCAATTATGTTGAACTCAATCATTCTAGGATTTTAGATGTAGTTCACAGATCATTCATGTATGTTAATAACTGTCTACATGTTCCCAAAACTTGTGGCACTTTGACCTTGAAAATCTAAGAAATGAAAGAGAATTAAACAACAATAACAGATCAGCTGTCTGAACTTGCACCTGTTGTCACAAAGGAAAGATTTGACTGTTCACTCATAAACCAAACCATAAACATAATATTTACAAATACCAGTTTGTTCTCTTACACTTAAAAAAATTGTACAGTTTGTTTTCCATGGTGTGTGTTTTGTTCTTTTTTCTGAGTCCCGGCCCCTGTGACAGACGCCAGTCTAACTCCAGTGTGATCATCATCATCCCAAAACAAGACAGGAAACAGAACAGGAAAAACATGGGGAACTCCATCCTGCTAGGTTTGTTTTCTCCTGTGTATATGTGAGTAATGTTTATCAAATGTTTTTTCTACTCAAGATTTAGAATGCATCCTCAGTGCATCGGAGGCTTCTGCTGAAGAGTCGTCTCTACATCGCCATTGTTGGTTTCGATGTCAATGTTTTCCTTACGTTGTCTCAACATCAGTTCTTTAACAGTTTTTTTTCATGAATGTCCAGAGTTCATCGTGTCCCTGTGTTCAGTTGTGCGGTTGAAAGATCTAAAACGTGCGTACAAGGCTTTTTCACCTTTGACCTGCAGTATGTCAGTCAGTCTGTCTGAGCCCCCCCGCACCCCTCTCCCCCTCAGCAACAGAGAGAATCTCAGAACAACAGAAGAGGATATGAAAAGACAGTGTCATACCCAGTCTCCAAAAACCTGAAGCATGTAGCTAAAAGTCCACTGAGGAGAGGATGAGAGTGCTTAAAACTTCCCGGGAAAATATGTAGAATTATATCAATTTTCATGATTTAAAAACAAGTATTAGCCTATCATGGACAAACACTGCAAGCTGATGGAGTGGTAAAGTCCAACAATGTTTTCTCTTCTGTTGACCGTGCAACACTCCACAGCTAAAGTAATGAGAGAAAGCGAGAACTAAAACGAGGGGGAGAGAGAGGGGGCTTCCATCAGTCTTTCTTTGTGGCAGGTGTTTGTGGAACAGCCTCAGTGATAAGAAATGAAAAAATAAAGGACATATTTGTTGTCCTTGTTATAATTATAGTCAATATTCATCTCTTGATAGCCTTTTTGAAGTATCTACAGAATAGAAGATAGTTTTCTTCATGAAGTGCACAAAGTTCAGCGGATGTAAATAACAAAAAGAAAGTACTTAAAAAACAAAAAGTATAATAAGAAAACAAACCTGAAAATAAAAAGGAAAAATACAAGATTTCCACTCTGATGTCCGTCTTCCATTTAGAAAATAAAAATCATGCAGAAGATCCCAGACAGCAAACCTGTTATAAATCTTAATATTCTCTTTATATTTTTACATGGTTATATTTAATATTTTCCCCCTTGAGTAAAGCCCAGTCACGGTGCAACACTGAATGCAATAAAAAAACAAAAAGAAAGTGCAAAAGATCAAAAAGATAAATGAAACGTCTGGCACTTTTTTGATGATGGTAATTCCTTGTGTAAGATCAAGTCAGGATGGGCCTCTCCAGGTGGTCCATTGGACCCCATTGAAAGAGGAGCGTTATCACAGTACTTGGCACCAAGAATGCTGGTAAAAACGAGATATCAGAATCTCACTTTTTTTCATTCATATCCTTACAATTGATCAGTAATACATAATTTACATTTATGTGTTTGTATAAAAGACTCCAAAGAGGAAAAAACGGAGTCCTGAAGTGGTTTGCGCAAGAGAGAAAGAGGATGAAAATGAGACTGGGAGGATTGTGTGAACGTTGTGATCAAGAGCTACAGGAACAGACATGGAGAGAAGTGAGTGGGAGGCAGAGAGAAGAGGAACAGATAGAGAGCGTGAGAGAGAGAGTGAAACACCCAGATTGTATAGACATATGAACAGGCTGGAAGATGTGTGATAGAGATGTGTTAGTTGGGTAATGATAGTCTTTGTCCCAGCAGCCCACAGCCTGAGTCAGACTGAGCCATGCATCCCAACAGTAGGGGGCGATAACACAGCCTAATGGGGAGATTGACAGAGAACAGAATAACAGAGAGAGAAAGAGAAAAAAACAACACAGAAAAATAAGAGAGTAAGAGAGAGAAGAAGGAGGAGAGGACCAGTCTGTGTGGTGTTTATTTGTATCTCTGCGGATCCAGAGTTTATGCCTGGTCCTATACGCGGGTGGTGGAGTGTTGGTGTGGCAGGGCGTTGTTGCTGTGGCCAGGGGTGGGGGTGGTGGAGGGGGCCGGGGCAGGGGGGTAGGTGTTGAAGGGGTGGAGGGGCTGCATGCCGCTGATGGTGCTGGGCATCATGGTGATGGTGTTGGCTGTCATCAGCGGCACATCCTCCGGTGCCCGCCGCAGCGCCAGGGTGTAGTCCGGTGGGCCCACCTGCGCCCGCAGCGTCTCCAGGTCGCCATGGAGACCGCGGGAAGGGAGGGGCGTGCCGATGCCGTGCTCCATCTCCACCCTCTGCTGCTTCATCTGCAGGGACATGAGCTCCTCCTCCTGGCTCAGCGCCAGGTCATTGTGGGACGGGGCGCCCACCACTCCCATGCCCACGCCCATGCCCATGTCGGTGCCCATGCCGCGTTGGGGGGACAAGCGACGGTGGCGTCTCTGCAGCAGCTCGTGGCGTTTGTCCCGTTTGTAGTAAAGCGCTGCGAAGGCCAGCACGTTGAGGAAGAGCAGCGAGGCGCCCACCGCCACCGTCACACTCAGCTCCGTGGAGTAGTCCCTTATCTCGTCGGGGAACGGGTTGCGGCGGGGCGGCTCGGAGGGGTCTGGCTCGGGTTCGGAGGGGTTGGTGGAGATGACGGGGTGGCGGGTGGAGCGTGCCCCAGGGGGTCCAGGACGGTGGACACGGGGACCTCCTCCTCCAGGCGGCAGGCGGGTGGTGATGGGGTTGATGTCCTCATGCAGGGAGTGCAGGTGAGGCACCAGCTCCAGCCAGAAGGCCACCTTGTTGGCCCGGTAGTTGTCTCGGACACGGGGCTTCAGGCCAATGTGGAGGTACTGCTTGTCCTTGGAGCTGAACTTGGTCCAGATGACCTCCTCAAAGCGGTTGGGCTTGGTATGGATGAACTTAGTGTCCTGAGGGACAGGCAGGTTGGGATCCCTGATGGACAAAAAGAGAGCGAGAGAGCGAGAAGGAAGGAAGGAAGGAAGGAAGGAAGGAAGGAAGGAAGGAAGGAAGGAAGGATGAAAGATTATCACAATTATTGAGCATGTACTGTATGCATCGGATAGAGCATGTTTATAATTTGATATCTCAGTGATTTGTCTAGGTCCTCTCTAGGTCCTGTTTAGGTCCAGTACTGACCCGGTCTTGGCAAAGTTGGTCCAGTAAGTCATGACCACAGCGCTGAGCATGATGTCGTTCTTGGAGAAGTTACAGGGGAACAGGTCTGTGGCTCCCACCATGGGGACCCCGAACACGTAGGGCAGCTCATCCCCGTGGGCCGCGTCCGCCCACTCTGGCCGGGCCTCCGTCTGGCAGTGGTGATGGAAGGTGTAGAAGTAGACAGGAGACTGGAACTCAGCGTGCAGCTTGGCTGTGGCCACCGCTGGCGCCACCCACTGGTGATCTGTGAACAGTGCCAGCAGGGTCTTCCTCCTCATGTCCACATTGTCCCTGTCGGCCCAGTCTGTGTACATGAACTTTATCGTCTCCCTCAGGATGTCCTTACCTGGAGACAGACAGAGATAGGGCGAGACACAGAGAGAGCAAGAGAGAGAGAGACAGAGAGAACGAGCAAGAGAGAGATTAGAGAGACAGAGAGAGGGGGGAGAGATGGGGGGGGGGGGGGGGGGGGGGGGGGGGGGGACAGAGAATGAGAGCAAGAGAGAGATTAGAGAGAGAGAGACAGAGAGAATGAGCAAGAGAGAGATTAGAGAGACAGAGAGAGGGGGGAGAGACGGGGGGGAGGGACAGAGAATGAGAGCAAGAGAGAGATTAAAGAGAGAGAGACGGGGAGGGGGGAGAGGGGGGTGGAGAGAGAGAATGAGAGCAAGAGAGAGATTAGAGAGAGAGACAGAGAGAGGGGGAGAGAGAGAGAGACAGAGGGGGGGAGAGAGAGAGAGAGAGAGAGGGGGGTGGAGACAGAGAATGAGAGCAAGAGAGAGATTAGAGAGTAACAAGAGATGGGGAGGTGAAGGGACAGAGAGACCTTGAATACTCGGCAATGAAATACTAAAGCATTGCAACATAAAATATGTATCTATTATTAACACACATTAACACACATGGGTAACTGGAGCATTACTTCTGCTCCTGTGGGGGTGACAAATATGTTGATGTGTATGAGGACATGTATAACAAACTCTCACCCTCAGGGTATCCATACAGGTTGTCCACAAAGTTAGAGATGGTGTAGTCAAAAGAGGCTGCAGAGATGCCATCATCCTCCTCACTGTCATCCACAAATTTCAGCCCTTCTCCCTGGTTCACCCCCAGCAGGATGTCATAGTTCAGGAACTCCCCCTGGTGGCAACACACACACATAGCATCACAGAACATTGAGGAAGAAAAGACACTGCGACAAAAACAGTAATAGCAGACGTTGCATAAAAATGCCAAATACAGAAAAGACTGTGAGAAAGATGGATAGAAATACAATTCTAACAGTTGAAACATAGAAATACAATTCTAATAATTGACATGTTGTTTTGCAGCCAGAGGCTGTGTCTGACCTGTTGCATGAGAATCTCGGGGTCGTCGGGCACCACGTCTCCATCCACCACGGGGCCGAAGGCGATATGATACCTGGCCGGCTGGATGTCCTGGTCCACCAGCTCCCTGAAGCTTTTCCTCCTCAGACACTCCACCAGCTCTCCCGTGTCCCCGTAGCTGCAGCCTACCTTCTTAGCCAGGATCTTGGTGTACATGAGGGGCCGGTAGTTGACCGACCAGCTGGAGATGGCTGAGCCGCTCTGGGCTATGGCTCTCTGGAACAGACCTGGGGGTCAGAAGAGGGTCAGATCCCTGAGTGTATAATAGATATAGGATATAGGGCACTGTACTGTCTGTATCTAGAGAAAGCACTCACTCTCTCCATTTACGCTGGCTTTTTATCCCTCTGACACACTCACTAGCTGCTCACGAGGCCTTCAAGGCACTACAGAGTGAGTGCTTTAATGATGCATGCGTCAGAGGAGGAGCCGTGGCACCGTGAAGTATTACATATGGAGGAAGCACTGGTCCAGATACGCTGCCTCTCTCCCAAGCCCCACTAAATCATTGTAAACATTAGGCTTGCCAAATCCACTGGTTCTCTCACATCATATACGGAGGCAGCGACAAGAGAAATGGCGACAGGCTGGCACACAGTTGAGTTGGTGTTACCACTGACTGTTGGCTGTGTTGAATGGAGAGAGATCGAGAGAGAGAGAGAGAGGGGGGGGGGGGTAGAGAGAGAAGGAGAGCACTTCTGCACTGTTATGTAAAGTGCCTTGTTGTCCCCCTGTTTTCATCTGCAGATTCTGTCATTAATAATTAAGACCCCCTCCGCCCCATTCCATCCCCCATCCTCTGCATGTGCCACCTCCCCCGCTCCTCTCCCTGTGAAATCAATTAAGACTCGTCTCAGCTGCAGCTCAAGTCCAGTGCTCAGCTCAGCTCTGCTCTCTCCTACTCACAGACAGACACATCCATATTGACAGTCCTCATGATAGTGCTCTCTCTCACAGACAGACACACACATCCATATTAACTCAGTCCAAAGTGCTCACTCATGCACCAGTCTCTCTCTCATTTACACAAGTGGAGATTCATATTCTACACTGTAGAATCTACAGTCCGATTTCCTATACTGGTCAAATTCTTTATGTTGTCATATGCATATTGATCTGATTCAACGAACCTATTCTATATGTGACTCAATCTCAGATAGTCATATCCATATTCATCTGGGCCTAAAGTTCTATCCCATAATCTCTACCTACCTCATTCCTATTCACACATCATCCTAGGGTTCAATGACATACTACCTTATTGCTCAGTTAGACACTATGGAACTGAAATAATTTAAATGTGAAATAATTTGAGCATTGTTATTTCCTAATAGTTGCTGGTTGAAAATGCAATCTACATAGGACCTTCTAATCAGCCTGTTTGCATGGGCAGGAGTTTCGGCTTTCCTGGTGACATCAACAGTTGGTAAATTGGTTAATAGACCATAACAAAGTGAGTTCCAAACCACACTGCCAATAACAGCTACTTTTAAGTTTTCCCCTCCCGCCTCAGACCACTCCCAGACAAGATTCTTCCTTGAGAAATAGTTTTTTGCTAAAAAGCTATTTTTGTCCATTTTAATGGAAAACTATTATAGTAAGGTACTGCATTGTTACCCAGAAATAATTGTATCTTGATATAAAAAATGGCTCCATTGGGCCTTTATACACTGCTCAAAAAAATTAAGGGAACACTAAAATAACACATCCTAGATCTGAATGAATGAAATCATCTTATTAAATACTTTTTTCTTTACGTAGTTGAATGTGCTGACAACAAAATCACACAAAAATGATCAATGGAAATCAAATTTATCAACCCATGGAGGTCTGGATTTGGAGTCACCCTCAAAATTAAAGTGGAAAACCACACTACAGACTGATCCAACTTTGATGTAATGTCCTTAAAACAAGTCAAAATGAGGCTCAGTAGTGTGTGTGGCCTCCACGTGCCTGTATGACCTCCCTACAACGCCTGGGCATGCTCCTGATGAGGTGGCGGATGGTCTCCTGAGGGATCTCCTCCCAGACCTGGACTAAAGCATCCGCCAACTCCTGGACAGTCTGTGGTGCAATGTGGCATTGGTGGATGGAGCGAGACATGATGTCCCAGATGTGCTCAATTGGATTCAGGTCTGGGGAACGGGCGGGCCAGTCCATAGCATCAATGCCTTCCTCTTGCAGGAACTGCTGACACACTCCAGCCACATGAGGTCTAGCATTGTCTTGCATTAGGAGGAACCCAGGGCCAACCGCACCAGCATATGGTCTCACAAGGGGTCTGAGGATCTCATTTTGGTACCTAATGGCATTCAGGCTACCTCTGGCGAGCACATGGAGGGCTGTGCGGCCCCCAAAAGAAATGCCACCCCACACCATGACTGACCCACCGCCAAACCGGTCATGCTGGAGGATGTTGCAGCAGAACGTTCTCCACGGCGTCTCCAGACTTTGTCACGTCTGTCACGTGCTCAGTGTGAACCTGCTTTCATCTGTGAAGAGCACAGGGCGCCAGTGGCGAATTTGCCAATCTTGGTGTTCTCTGGCAAATGCCAAACGTCCTGCACGGTGTTGGGCTGTAAGCACAACCCCCACCTGTGGACGTCGGGCCCTCATACCACCCTCATGGAGTCTGTTTCTGACGGTTTGAGCAGACACATGCACATTTGTGGCCTGCTGGAGGTCATTTTGCAGGGCTCTGGCAGTGCTCCTCCTGCTCCTCCTTGCACAAAGGCGGAGGTAGCAGTCCTGCTGCTGGGTTGTTGCCCTCCTACGGCCTCCTCCCCGTCTCCTGATGTACTGGCCTGTCTCCTGGTAGCGCCTCCATGCTCTGGACACTACGTTGACAGACACAGCAAACCTTCTTGCCACAGCTCGCATTGATGTGCCATCCTGGATGAGCTGCACTACCTGAGCCACTTGTGTGGGTTGTAGACTCCGTCTCATGCTACCACTAGAGTGAAAGCACCGCCAGCATTCAAAAGTGACCAAAACATCAGCCAGGAAGCATAGGAACTGAGAAGTGGTCTGTGGTCACCACCTGCAAAACCAGTCCTTTATTGGGGGTGTCTTGCTAATTGCCTATAATTTCCACCTGTTGTCTATTCCATTTGCACAACAGCATGTGAAATTTATTGTCAATCAGTGTTACATTGTGTTGTTTAAGTGTTCCCTTTATTTTTTTGAGCAGTGTATCTACCTCTCTGGGTTTTCATTTTTTAAACATACCTAAATAGTACAGTTAAAACATGTTGGATGGTGCTATCGTGTTGATGATTTAAATGGTTATATGGTGATAATGATGATAGGATTGATAGTAATAGTGTGGATTGTTGTCGTAGATGACGTGATGATGATATTGCTGTTATTGTAGATGATGACTATGACTATCATGTTTGATGATGTTGGCGATGATGATTATGATGTTGTTGTTGATGATGATGACTGTTCCCAGCTAGCACATTTGGTTCCTTGGAAGTTGTGGGAACGTTTGTATTTGGTTTCACATTGGTTGTGGGAACGAACCCATAAGTTTCCTGACCAGAAAAACTGAACAGAAGTGAACATTTTGGTTCTGAGTATGTTTTAATCTGGTTCCATGAAAGTTTTCCTGGGAGGCTTTATTAACGCTCTGAGAATGGAAATTGGAGGCTTTTGAATAACTTCCTTATAACTTTCACTGAATGTTTCAATAAGACAAACTTTTTTTAAACTCCAAGCACAGATAGGACACATGGAAATAAATTTCCTTAGGCATTAATCATGCAAACATTAATTTTGTATTGTGACACAGCATCAGTGAGATTCAAACCAATAATTTTTTGTTCCCTATCCATGGAATTAGTCCACTGCACCACCAGGATGGAGCTAGCATGTAATGTTTTTTTTATGCATACAAAGCTGTTCATTTTAGTCTATTCAAACAGACCCCATTTCAAAGGAAACAAACATTCATTAAGATCATGGGAGGCCAATTAGTGGGCGTGGCCAACACACCTGAAAACACTTAGGGTACGTTCGTAAATGGCTATCTATTCCGATTTCAGAGCACTCTTGTCTGAGTGTGCCAGAACGCAGAATAACTGATGAATTTACGAACGCTCAACACCCGTTGAATATGGCCGGTGTCAGTAAACATAGGCAAAAAAGCTTAATTAAATTGTTGCCAGCAGCACAGTTAGTCACTAATGCTTTGGATAACATGAAAACAGCCTAACAAGCTCTGCAAGGGCAAGTAAAATGGTCAGAGTGAGGTGTTCTCTCATTTATGTCTGGAATTAGCTAGCAAGCTAGCTAACTTTAGCAAGTTAGCTTGGGTGCTTGACTGCCGTTGTGAGGTCAGAACGCTCGGATCAACCCTACTCCTCAGCCAGAGCGTCCAGTGTGCATTCTAAACGCTCTGAATTTACGAACGGACAATCTGACAATGCTCTGAATTTACAAACGCCGAGAGCACACTCTGAGCGCTCTCTGGCACTCCAGAGTGAATTTACGAACGCACCCTTAACAAGATAGAGGATAGAGAGTTTTGTTGATGCTGAGTACGGAATGTATATGTTTTTAAATAACATTCTTAGAACGTTCTCTAAACATTACTAAAGTTGTCTTGTGGTTTTTATGGAATGTTTTGTTAACATTCTGAGAATGGAATGTATGTTTTTTAAAAATGTTATTGGAACGTTCTTTGAACGTTACTAAAGTTTTCTTATGGTTTTTATGGAACGTTTTCTTAATGTTCTCGGAACAATTTAAGAACATGACTTTAAATAGAACCATGAGAAAACCTGAAGGAAACGTTATGCTGAAGTACTGAAATTACCACAGAAGAATGTTTCTTAACATTCTCTGAACTATTTGAGAGCATTCCCAATGTCAAACCAGTTGGAGAACCTTCCTAAAACATTACCAAAATGTCAATGAAATGTAACCATGTTTGAACTTTTAGGAAACGTTCTGTAAAAGTAATGAAATAGAAAATTATGTTTTTTTGTCAAGTTCCTTAAATGTGCTGAGAATGTTCCAAAGCCAAGCAACTATCCTGCACCATTCCCAGAACGTTGTGGGAAGGTTGTACGCAAAATAACCATAGGATAACCACGCTCTCACCAGGGTCTAAGAAACATATGGTTCTCAGAACGTTATGTGCAATTGCAGGGCTCTACAACCTTGTTCCTGGAGAGCTACCGTCCTGTAGGTTTTTCACTCCAACCCTAATCTAGCGCAACTGATTCTATTAATTAGCTGGTTGATAAAAATGAATCAGGTTAGTTACAACTGGGGTCGGAGCGAAAACTTAGAGGAGTGTAGCTCTCCAGGAACAGGGTTGGAGAGCCCTGTGCTAGTGTAACAGTGTTGCCTCCATCCCTCTCTTCGCCCCAACCTGGGCTCTAACCAGGAACCCACCAAACACATATAAAACTGCATCCCACGAAGCATCGTTACCTATCGCTCCACAAAAGTCGCAGCCCTTGCAGAGCAAGGGAAACAACTACTTCAAGGTCTCAGAGCGAGTGATGTCACCGATTGAAATGCCACTAGCGTGCACCGCTAACTAGCAAGCCATTTCACACCGGCTACACTAGCTGGGTTATGACTATGATGACAGGTCCTTACCCTCTGAGTGGTGGGAGAGGATGAGCAGGTTGACACAGGAGGCTCCAGCCCCGGAGCCAAAGATGGTGATCCTCTCTGGGTCTCCTCCAAAGTGGCCAATGTTCTCATTGAGCCAGCGCAGAGCCTGGATCTGGTCCAAAAGACCATAGTTCCCCTTGGCTGACTGGTCCCCGGTACTCAGAAACCCTGCAGGACAGAGAGAGGCGAATGGAGGGAGGGATGGAGGGTAGACGGATGGTAGAGGGATTTGCGTGGAGAGGTGAGGCAAGTGAGACAGCATAATGGAAAGACAGAGAAGTGAAGAGTGATTTGAGGAATAGGGGAGTGAGAGGGGTACACAAGGATGATAAGATGTCAGAGAGGACATTTTGATGACAGGAAAGAGACCAGAATGAGAGAGAGGAATAAATGAGAAGGCATAGAGAGAGAAAGAGGATGAGGGTTGGTTGAAGAGGTGTAGGGAGAGATTCAGGGAGAGAATAAAAAATAATTACGTTTTGCATCCTTTTTATGTCCTCCACAAACAAGGATGGCCGTAGCATCCAGTGACAGTTGCCTGGGTGTTTACGAGGCTGCAGCTCGTTAGCAGCCTCAAGTGCTTTAACAGAAACTTTGGCAAATTAGTCAAGCACTGTATTATCTGACAAAAGCAATGGCACTCATTTTTAATACCTATGTCGTTAAATGAACGCCGTAAAGAGAGCTCGTTAGGAGAGAGAAGAGACACTGTAAACACACACACACACACACACACACACACACACACACACACACACACACACACACAAAACAAACACAGGCACCCATCCACTCACTTGCTCTCATACACAGATACACACACACGCACGCAAATAATAATTATAAAACGTGTTATAAAGTCATTATCCTTGTTGAACAGCTAATGGGTGTTGCTGGTGTTTTCACATGCACATAAAACCCTGGGCGTATATGACCTATTACTCGTTACTTTACAGTATTACTTTGTGTGGAAAGTAACACGTTATATTACTAGTTATATTACTTTGCGTTACTTTCATGAAAAAAAACTCTAAATCTCACAGTTTGTTTGACTGACAGAGGGAGCAAGACGAGCCATGCGATCTCTCTAAAAAAGATTGGCTACTTACTAAGTCAGGTTTGATCACTAGTTTCTCCTTTCATCTGTGGCGCTGCTTTCCTGTGGTAGTCTACAAGGGCTGTGCTACATATGGGCTGCTTAATTAGCTACAGTGGGGAGAACAAGTATTTGATACACTGCCGATTTTGCAGGTTTTCCTACTTACAAAGCATGTAGAGGTCTGTAATTTTTATCATAGGTACACTTCAACTGTGAGAGACGGAATCTAAAACAAAAATCCAGAAAATCACATTGTATGATTTTTAAGTAATTAATTTGCATTTTATTGCATGTCATAAGTATTTGATACATCAGAAAAGCAGAACTTAATATTTGGTACAGAAACCTTTGTTTGCAATTACAGAAATCATATGTTTCCTGTAGGTCTTGACCAGGTTTGCACACACTGCAGCAGGGATTTTGGCCCACTCCTCCATACAGACCTTCTCCAGATCCTTCAGGTTTCGGGGCTGTCGCTGGGCAATACGGACTTTCAGCTCCCTCCAAAGATTTTCTATTGGGTTCAGGTCTGGAGACTGGCTAGGCCACTACAGGACCTTGAGATGCTTCTTACGGAGCCACTCCTTAGTTGCCCTGGCTGTGTGTTTCGGGTCGTTGTCATGCTGGAAGACCCAGCCACGACCCATCTTCAATGCTCTTACTGAGGGAAGGAGGTTGTTGGCCAAGATCTCGCGATACATGGCCCCATCCATCCTCCCCTCAATACGGTGCAGTCGTCCTGTCCCCTTTGCAGAAAAGCATCCCCAAAGAATTATGTTTCCACCTCCATGCTTCACGGTTGGGATGGTGTTCTTGGGGTTGTACTCATCCTTCTTCTTCGTCCAAACACGGCGAGTGGAGTTTAGACCAAAAAGCTCTATTTTTGTCTCATCAGACCACATGACCTTCTCCCATTCCTCCTCTGGATCATCCAGATGGTCATTGGCAAACTTCAGACGGGCCTGGACATGCACTGGCTTGAGCAGGGGGACCTTGCTTGCGCTGCAGGATTTTAATCCATGACGGCGTAGTGTGTTACTAATGGATTTCTTTGAGACTGTGGTCCCAGCTCTCTTCAGGTCATTAACCAGGTCCTGCAGTGTAGTTCTGGGCTGATCCCTCACCTTCCTCATGATCATTGATGCCCCACAAGATGAGATCTTGCATGGAGCCCCAGACCGAGGGTGATTGACCGTCATCTTGAACTTCTTCCATTTTCTAATAATTGCGCCAACAGTTGTTGCCTTCTCACCAAGCTGCTTGCCTATTGTCCTGTAGCCCATCTCAGCCTTGTGCAGGTCTACAATTTTATCCCTGATGTCCTTACACAGCTCTCTGGTCTTGGCCATTGTGGAGAGGTTGGAGTCTGTTTGATTGAGTGTGTGGACAGGTGTCTTTTATACAGGTAACGAGTTCAAACAGGTGCAGTTAATACAGGTAATGAGTGGAGAACAGGAGGGCTTCTTAAAGAAAAACTAACAGGTCTGTGAGAACCGGAATTCTTACTGGTTGGTAGGTGATCAAATACTTATGTCATGCAATAAAATGCAAATTAATTACTTAAAAATCATACAATGTGATTTTCTGGATCTTTGTTTTAGATTCCGTCTCTCACAGTTGAAGTGTACCTATGATAAAAATTACAGACCTCTACATGCTTTGTAAGCAGGAAAACCTGCAAAATCGGCAGTGTATCAAATACTTGTTCTCCCCACTGTATATATTCTGTAAGCCAAAGGTCTGTTAATTCAAAATCTTTCTCTGCAACCGCCAGTTCTGGTTCTGGAATGCATGTACACGGACCAATAGAGATGTATAGAGGGCACACTTGTCACTAGACGGGAAAGCCCTCTATAGGCTTTGCTATCACAGAAGTGATCAATGGCAAAGATCAGAGGTGCACCCTTTATACATTTCTATGGACAGCAGCAGTCATGACATTTCTCAAAACAGCCTTTCTCCGCTTGATCGAGAGCTAAATTAGGAAACAAGTCGAGATTGGCTCATGGAAACACACACCCGGTTGTTTGACTAAGTAACAATAATAATATATAGTGGGGGAAAAAAGTATTTAGTCAGCCACCAATTGTGCAAGTTCTCCCACTTAAAAAGATGAGAGAGGCCTGTAATTTTCATCATAGGTACACGTCAACTATGACAGACAAATTGAGGAAAAAAAATCCAGAAAATCACATTGTAGGATTTTTAATGAATTTATTTGCAAATTATGGTGGAAAATAAGTATTTGGTCACCTACAAACAAGCAAGATTTCTGGCTCTCACAGACCTGTAACTTCTTCTTTAAGAGGCTCCTCTGTCCTCCACTCGTTACCTGTATTAATGGCACCTGTTTGAACTTGTTATCAGTATAAAAGACACCTGCCCACAAGCTCAAACAGTCACACTCCAAACTCCACTATGGCCAAGACCAAAGAGCTGTCAAAGGACACCAGAAACAAAATTGTAGACCTGCACCAGGCTGGGAAGACTGAATCTGCAATAGGTAAGCAGCTTGGTTTGAAGAAATCAACTGTGGGAGCAATTATTAGGAAATGGAAGGCATACAAGACCACTGATAATCTCCCTCAATCTGGGGCTCCACGAAAGATCTCACCCCGTGGGGTCAAAATGATCACAAGACCGGTGAGCAAAAATCCCAGAACCACACGGGGGGACCTAGTGAATGACCTGCAGAGAGCTGGGACCAAAGTAACAAAGCCTACCATCAGTAACACACTACGCCGCCAGGGACTTAAATCCTGCAGTGCCAGACGTGTCCCCCTGCTTAAGCCAGTACATGTCCAGGCCCGTGCTAGAGTGCATTTGGATGATCCAGAAGAGGATTGGGAGAATGTCATATGGTCAGATGAAACCAAAATAGAACTTTTTGGTAAAAACTCAACTCGTCGTGTTTGGAGGACAAAGAATGCTGAGTTGCATCCAAAGAACACCATACCTACTGTGAAGCATGTGGCTGTAAACATCATGCTTTGGGGCTGTTTTTCTGCAAAGGGACCAGGACGACTGATTCGTGTAAAGGAAAGAATGAATGGGGCCATGTATGGTGAGATTTTGAGTGAAAACCTCCTTCCATCAGCAAGGGCATTGAAGATGAAACGTGGCTGGGTCTTTCAGTATGACAATGATCCCAAACACACCGCCCGGGCAACGAAGGAGTGGCTTCGTAAGAAGCATTTCAAGGTCCTGGAATGGCCTAGCCAGTCTCCAGATCTCAACCCCATAGAAAATCTTTGGAGGGAGTTGAAAGTCCGTGTTGCCCAGCGACAGCACCAAAACATCACTGCTCTAGAGGAGATCTGCATGGAGGAATGGGCCAAAATACCAGCAACAGTGTGTGAAAACCTTGTGAAGACTTACAGAAAATGTTTGACCTGTGTCATTGCCAACAAAGGGTATATAACAAAGTATTGAGAAACTTTTGTTATTGACCAAATACTTATTTTCCACCATAATTTGCAAATAAATTCATTAAAAATCATACAATGTGATTTTCTGGATTTTTTTTCCTCCTTTTGTCTGTCATAGTTGACGTGTACCTATGATGAAAGTTACAGGCCTCTCTCATCTTTTTAAGTGGGAGAACTTGCACAATTGGTGGCTGACTAAATACTTTTTTTCCCCACTGTATATATTACTCAATATTACCCAATTTGAAAAAGTAACGTTAAGTAATTTGATTACGTAATGTATTACCCCCAACACTGCTCAATTCAAATTTCAGCAATATTCTAGTTATGGATTTGGAATTGAATTGGAATAAGACTGTTTGGACTGTTCGGAGTTGTAATTGAATTGGAATTGTAAAATAATTTAATAGTTGGAATTTAATTGAATTGGAATTCAATATTTGTACACTACCGTTCAAAAGTTTGGGGTCACTGAGAAATGTCCTTGTTTCGAAAGAAAAGCAATTGTACTACTCCCTTCACAGAACAGCGCAAACTGGCTCTAACCAGAATAGAAAGAGGAGTGGGAGGCCCCGGTGCACAACTGAGCAAGAGGACAAATACATTAGAGTGTCTAGTTTGAGAAACAGACGCCTCACA